TGCGATGACATCTCTTGAGCTCCCCAGCTATGGATGGTACCTACAAAGAAGCTTTAGGCTTGAGCTAGAATTCCGGGGGGAAACGTGGACCAGTAGAGGTATTAGTTCGCGTGCACCCCGGATGTTTGCTGGCAAGTCTAGGATGTAAGGCTAACAAAAAAAAGGAACAGTGTGAAAAGCTGGGGGATCTGTTGCGTAGAAACTGGGGTTTCCCATAATGAGTATGCCCCAGAGTATGTAGAGTGCTGATAGTCCATGTGCAGCAGGACAGTCTAGTCCATTACTCTAGATATCCGTTATAAATCTCGGCCCAAGGGTCGGAAAGCGAGATGGCCGTGGTGAATCCCAGTGATGCTGGAAATAAAGCTTATTGCGGAAAAAGCGCCAGTGCTTGATCTTCTGTACTCCGATTACGCCAGGATAGCGTCCATATCAACATCTTTCGGCGAACAGTGACCAGCTACATATCTGGCCATGGGCCCGCATCAATTGTATTCATGTAATCACCGGTAAATGCACGGTTTGAAGCCCCCTCTTATCACTCGCCGCGCGCACCTCAAAAGTTCATGATAGGCGAGGAATTAAGCGGAGGAGAGGGGTGTAAAGTTTAAAAAGGACCGCCCAGTGCAGTCAATCATCAGTATGAAAAGTATTTAGAGTAACGTGACCAGTCCTTTTTCGTACATTGACCGTGGCCCTGCAGCGGAAGAATTAGTTTCCCCACCTCACCCCCAGCACCCGCAGCTCGCCCCATCTTTGAGGATAGCATTCATCCCCTTACTCTAAAGGACCTGGAAAACCGAGACCTCAAGGGGGGAAAAACAGAAAAAAAAATTAGCCTGAATAAACGTCTGCTATTGGCTGGAGTTTGACAGAAACCAGCTCTATTATGCGGCGCCGCACTTTACTCTTACATTTCAAGACGTGGCCATCATTCTTTTCTTTCCTTCTTCTGCTTCTGACGAATGTGAGACATGTCCCGGAGGTTTGGTGGTGGTGCCATAGGGTGGGAAAATCAGGAACAAGGAAGATGCTGGATGATGGAAGCAACTATTCCTTCTTCTTCTTTCGTGATCGTTGTGATATGCTCTCTAATGGCATCGCTGTAAGGATTAATACTCTATCCATGGTAACAGTTGGAGGGGAGAGATGAAGGTCAGGAAGCTTCGTGGACTCTTCGCTTTTTTTGTTTCGGGGCTCAATCCCTCCCCAGTCTAGGCCAAATTAAAATGTGGGATGTGCTCAATCTGTCGATTGTTAGATAACGTCGTCTTAACATTGGAAAGTGTTAGATGTGAGCTCTCACTCATGCTCACTTCATTTTTCTTTTCTCCATCAGAACTATCGAATTCAGATACCAAATAAGCTGCCAAGAACAGTAGTCTAGTGATGAAGCTAGGAGGCAAGAACTACATATGCTCTCTGTTAAAGCCACCAATCAACATGGGCAATTGTAACACATTTATTATTATGTTTGCACGCGCTCAGTTCAAGCGATAGAGATGTGATATAACCCTTATCAAGGGCCAGTAAACAATCGCATCATTGTCCGATGGAGTAGGTAGCAAGAGCAAGGTTCATTGATAGGAAGGGCGCTAATATTCCCAGAACACCGGAAGGTGGAAGAGTTCCTTTCCTTTAGGACTCTTTATTCTCTTCCTCGGAGGCATATGCACCGGTGGCGCTCAAAAATACTTGTCTACTCTATGGTAGAGTAGGTACTCTAGATTACTGTGCACATACATGTATGTACGTAGTGTGGACGTATTCTATCCAATGTGCCACTTTATTGATGCACGCGTGTCGTGCAGATTTATATTCAGAGACATCCACAATGAAAAAGGAGTTAAGCTTGTGCAAAGACCTAAAATATTGGCAGAAATGCGTATGTAAAGGCCTAATTTGAGGTTATCGATATTTAGGCAAACCGCACTTTATGTAAAACTGCCGTTTAGTAGAAGCACACACTCCAGAACCGGGACTTTCCCTGGAACATACACATCACAGGTTTCAGCCTCACCCGTTGATTGTGAATAACGTGACATGATCACCTGGGAGACCTTGGAAGTTGGAGCTCTGTAACTCAGTAGATATTTGTCCACTTCCAACTTGTTCAGTTATGAGTTTTTATGCCAGGACTAACTGCCGTCGATGTTTTGTACAACTCCATTATTTTTAACGCTGCATATCCTTGTACCTAGAGTAGGTAGAGTACAAAGGTGCAAGGGCCCACCACAGGTGGCTGCAGGCGGTCGTATGTGTTTTTCTTTCTTAAGAGGTGCCGGCACGGCCGTGCTTTGGTAAGTACCGTCGGTCTGTACTCGAACACTTGGACGTACGACTTCCACATATACACAGTCTAAGCTGGGGAGGTACTGTTGTCTACTCGCCGCCAGCCGTGATGTGGATAAGAGGGAATAATTAAAGGCGAGAACTCCTTAAAAATTTATTCCCGAGTGAATTTAATGGCATCCAGAGGCGTCTGTGGACTATTTTGCTTGGCAGCAATTGAACTTGAATTTCCTTCCTAATGAATATCAAGTTCATGGCTTCTCCAGAGAGGTCACATTGCCAGGCGGTTGAAGGCTTTCGATGTTCAATTTTTAATTGCCCAAACAAGCAGCTTGTTGCAGGTGGCAAACAAGGTCATGGTCCCTGGATTTAAACTCTTGCCCTTGCATATTAGACATTGGCGGCTCTGCTAGTACCCCTTCTTCTCTCAATTGCCTGTGTAAAAGCGTTACGTTTGAATAGAATAGCATGCCACCAGGATTCAGAACTCGGATTGTATCCCAGATATCCTTTCATTTCGGACGTTTCCAGGTTATTGTATGTAACGGGGTGACGATGATAAGTAATAATCCTCGCTGCCGCAAGGACGAGCGGAGATTTAAAGCCGTGCGTGATAATATATATCACAACATTAATTGAATCGGGGTAACGAGCGGTGAGCGCCAGATATCGTGCTTTTTGACCCGCGGCCACGACCACGGGTATGAGGTTATTGTCCGTAACATTCTTTACCACTGGTATAGGATTACTATAATATACCCCTAACTATGTTGGTAGAGGTTGCAACAAGAGAAACCCTTGACCATTTCACTTTAGTTAGCCCCGTTTGACTCCGACTCGCAAGGTGACCAGTTCAGCCTCTGTAACGTCAAAGGCTGACCTATGTAGTTGTAGTTATGAAATCCAGCCAAACCGAAATTCTGAGATTTTTTTTTATTTCGGGAATCTGCTTCTCGGGTAAATTTTTTGAGCCATTGAATGGATCTTGGCTGCCTCGGAGGGATTGGGAAATCCGAAGTTGTGCCTGCAGCAGAGGGCAGCAGAGCGGCGTTATCGTACCCTAAGCCCCATAAGAAAACCGTTAATTTTCGTGGTTTGGCCGGGCCAATCAACCCGAAACGGGAGCAAGGGCCAAGTTTGTAGCTCTGCACTGACATCTGAACGATTGACCTTTTTTTTATTTTATTTTTTTATTTCCAGAAATCACCACTGAAGGAGTATCAAGGGACGCGTCTGGCCGAGTGAAGGAGGGAAGCAAGGAACCACAAGGAAGCAAAGAGGCTACGCACTTTCAGGAACACGCACATCCACACGAGATTCGAGGCCGATCAACATCTAGGGGGGGCTGGTGGATAAAGTAGGAAATCGTCAGAGAGAAGGAGAGAGGGAGAGAGGGGACGTACACGGGAGTGGAGGTACGCTTCCTCAAGTTTTCAGGTACGGAAACAAATCAGAACAACCGAGAAACAAAAAAACGCTACTGCCGGTGTTAGTGCCCCTCTCACGCTCAGACCGTTCTTTGCTCAGTCACAACTTGCAAGACTGAAGATCCATCTCGCATTCTCACTCGCCTGTGTATAATACAGCTTAGTACATCTATCTTACAGCTTACGGGAGAGAGGAAAAGACACGGGCCTTCTCGTGGAAGAATAACGTATCACATACTGTTCTCTGTATCAAGAAGAGAGATACCGTACACAGTAGGTCAGTTATCTCATCTATTATCCATCTATCATCATCCCCCCCCATCCATATCTTCTCCAATATCCTATCTCATCCACTACTCCCGGGAGTAGCCGCGAAAAAGAAGTAGGTCAAATCATTCTCTGTGAATAGATCATTCTAGCAAGGGGTTGGCTGGTTGAGAGTGGAAGGGATAATAGTGGGAAAATACACCTTCTTTTGCAGTACAGTCAGTTACACTTCAGGTTCACTCAGCAGGAATAAAAACTAAAAAGAAGAGGGGGGAAATAAGAGAGGGAATTTTTTTTAAAAAAAAAATCCCCCGGAATAATCCATCTGACAATTTTTTTTTTCAAAGGCAGCAGAAATAAAGAAAGAGAGAGAGAAAAATAACCCAGTCTCTCCTACTCTGGTTGAATTAGAAACCCGCGCGACGTTTACCATACCAAGATCCAAACTGCGGAAGATTTCCGGAGTTCCCAGACACCTGCTGTCATCACAGGCCGCCCTGTGTGCGAGCACAGACCTGCAGCCCACCACCCAGCGGGTTAACCCAATTTCTGGCGAACCGGCACCGACGAGGCCTGCTACCCGATCGTGTAATTGGTCCTGTTAACTCACTCAGTCGGGTTCCGACAGCAGTTTTCCAGCGGCGGCGGCGAGGTCGCCCTTACTACGTTCCGTATAGACCGTTCCCGTACCCAGTTGGGCGAGATTCTGGAAAGCTACCAGGGAGGGAAGAAGGGGGGGGAAATGGAAATGGCTGATTCATATGCGGCTCTCCTGGGGGTGGGATCTCCTACTGCCGCAGCGCTGGCAGCGGAGTCTGGAAGGTGTGTGGAAGATTTATTTCTCTATTTATTTGTTGTCTTGATTCGACCGTTCATTCGTGCCTTACCGTGAGGGGCTCTGCTTGCTGCTGCTGCATGGGGAGGATCAAAGTGAGAGGAGAGAGGTGCGGAGGTCATCAAAGAAACATCACTACAACCACTATACAAACACCGCTGTGATTCGGAATCGTGAACATGGCTCGGGACCCGGACGTCTTTCGTCCAACACTGGCGACTATCCCGTCAACATCCTGCACCTACGTATTCGAAGATGGTGGATTCAGCAGCGGCGGGTTCAGCAGCAGCACCATGAGCCCCATTTCACCAGTCGACACACCTCCTTCGACACCTACCAGCATTGCCAATTCCTCATCGTTCTCCTCCTCACATAATGGCAGCAAGACTATGAAAAAAAGGTTCTCGGATTCGATTACTGACATGTTTGCTCTTTCGCTGCACAGACGTCGACCTTCATTACAACAGGGCCCTACGATACCCCCAACCAGAACCACCAACAATGCAGGAAGCAGCTCAAAGTCCAGAAATCGGTCTTCCTCTGCTACTGCAGCTGGAACGAGCTACCTACGCAACACAACAACTCCAACACTCAACTCATCACCTTCGATGGCCACGATAGCGTCGACAAGTTCTACAAGCAGCAGCTATAGAGGGGGATTGTCGAGGCGGGACTCAGTTACAGACGTGGCTCGGATCTTCCCGCAGCCACCAACGGGGGTGGGTGTGACGAGGGAAAATCCTATTGGAGACTCGCCGACAGCTTCGCCAGAACCCATCAAAACAATGGCCAGCAGAAAGATAATGTCGACAGAACAATTGAGAGAGGATGAGGAGTATCACGGTGGATTTGACATGGAAGATTGGGATACCTCCAGCTTCGAGGATGGGAATCTTGCTGCACAAAAAGCTGCTGCAGACGTTGGAATGAGGAGGATGACTACAGGCATCACGCGAAAGATATCGGACTCGAAAAGGATTCGGCCACCATCACCTAGTGATGCCGAAGAGGAAGTTGGGGGAAATAAATCGTTAGCCGAAGCGTTTGATGATAAGTGTTCGCTAGGGAAACAGAAGGACCAACTAGTGATTCCCCCAGGATCTGTGGGGAGCGATAAGCGGGAATCTACAACATCAGCTTCTGCTTCAACAATACAGGGATACACATCATCTTCTGATGAGGAATCGACTGCATCTTCAGTCAGATCTCACAGGTCTATGGGATCCAGATCCCGTAGTTCAACATCTGGAGCGTCATCCAAAGCTGGCCTGCCCCAGAACATGTCATTTACTCATTCGAAAAAGCGAGGGTCTAAACCACACAATGCACCCCCACCATTAAATCTAGAGGCGCAAACAGACGACCGGGCATCGGGTTCGAGCACGTCTGCGGTGTTCATGCTTGACAGCCGACGGCCCACTTCAAGGCCACCGACTGCCCCACCTGCTCGGTCAGCCACCGCTTCTCCGTCAAAGTCGATCAACGCGTCGATCAGACATAAGCAGAGTGGTGGGCTTGAGGTACCCGGAATAATCACAAGTCCTGGATCACCAGGATCACGATTGTCATCATTGGCTAGTGCTGCTGCCACTCAGGGGCCTAAATCTCGATCAATATCTGCAACGGCCTTAAACTTAATTTCACGTTCTGATAGTAGCTCTTCAACGGCCACAACACCCCACACAGCAAGGCTGAATCCCGCCACATCTACAACGCCCGCAGGCCGGACTCAAAAATATCTTACCCAAAGAGACCGACAGGGATCGTCAAAGGTTTCATTGTCCTCTTATGCAGCGCAGGCAGCCAAGAGCAAGGCCAAAGGGCAACCAATACTCGAACCCCCATTGCCAGATCCAAAAAATGCACCATCAGTGGCGCCAGCTCCCGCTAGTGGTATGTATTGGTACAAGGCTGCGACTCACGGGCGAGAGAATGTACCCGTTAGAGCTCACACTTGCACACTTGTGAATAATAATATTTACGTTTTTGGAGGCTGTGATGTTGGAACGTGTTTCAACGATTTGCACGTTTTTGACGCAGGTAAGGGTTGCATTACGGCCAGTTTAAGGTTTAGTGATAATAACATGAATTTGGGGTGTAGATTCAATGTCATGGTCTAAACCAAATGTTTCTGGGGATATTCCACCGCCTCTCCGGGCAATGACGTGCACTGCTGTCGGAAGAAAGCTCGTGATATTCGGAGGTGGTGACGGGCCAACGTATTACAACGATATATATGTTTTTGATACCATTACAAACAAATACACACGCCCAAAGCTTCGTGAGGGGACACTAGTACCCTCAATGAGAAGGGCCCATACGGCTTGTCTGTACCGATATGGAATATATGTATTCGGCGGTGGGGATGGTGTCAAGGCATTGAATGATGTATGGAGGCTTGATGTATCGGATCTCAGCAAGCCATCATGGCGGAACATCTCACCATCGCAGCCTCCATCTCGCGTTGGGTCATCATCAACATCACTGGTAGACCATGCGGACCGCCAGGCAAGGCCAACGGCCCGAGGCTATCACACGGCCAACATGGTTGGCTCAAAACTCATTGTCTACGGCGGGAGTGACGGCGATGAATGCTTCAGTGATGTCTGGGTATTCGATGTAGAAACAAGCATATGGCGCAATGTTGGGATTCCACTCAGCTTCCCCAGGTTGAGCCATACCGCCACGATCGTTGGCAGTTATCTGTTTGTTGTCGGCGGACACGATGGCGTCGAGTACTCGAGCGAGGTTCTGTTGCTTAATCTTGGTGAGTTTGATCTTTACTCTACGAAGCCGATCCATGGGACTGATGTGTGGCGACCGAAAGTGACTATGCAGTGGGATAAGAGAAAAGTCTATGGACAGCCGCCAACTGGTAGAGGCTACCATGGCACAGTTTTGAACGATTCAAGACTATTCGTGATTGGGGGCTTTGATGGGTTTGTGCTGCATCTTCTCTGTTTGAGTGGAACATTATATTAACTGGGTTTATTAGGCATGATGTGTTCAATGACACTTATATCCTCGAGCTTGCCGTGAGCAGTTATTACTCGCAAATCTCGCACTTTTCCATCGAGGTATGATCGAGGTTATGGGGTTTACGAAGAACTCTGAAAAATAGTATATTATTACGATTTGAACCGTGGTACAGTATCTTGGGGTGGTTAAATGTTTTTTGGTTTGTTTTGACTTTTTATTTCGATTCTTAATGTCCCGTCACGAGCTGCCTGGAGCTTTCTTGGGGTTGGACGATGGAGCGAGCGTCTCTTTGCTCTTTTTTTTTATTTTATTTGATGCTTTACTTTTTTTCTTTCTTCTTTCCCTTTTATATATCTTTTCTTTCTTTTTATGTTCCGACGGATTGAGGACAAAAGGAGTTGTTTTCTGGGACGGCGAAACATGAACGACAGGCAGACAGGAGTGATTCTATGGGTTGACGAAGGTGGGAGGAAATACCTAAAAGGAATGTGAATGTGGGAAGAGGTGGCAATGATACCTTTGGTGGGGCGTGGCTTTGGGCTTGGCTTGTTTGTTTATTCTTGCTGTGGGGTGTTTTGAATATTTTTGTTATTTTCGTGATGGGGGGCGCAAAACCAATTTTATAGCTTTCATTCGCTCCTGTTTTTCTTCATCGTTTTTGTTTATCTTGTACGCGTATCTTTTTTTTTTCGTTCTGTATCATGAGCCTTCTTTTTCCTTTTAATGAGTGATGGATATGTTGTTGTTTATTTTTTGCTTTCATTTGTTTAGACAATTCTTCCTTTTTCTTCGACAGAGTTCAATACCTTACTCTATCTATTGATTGAATGTTTTACTCTGGAGTTTTTTTTTGCTCATATAGAAGGCGAGGGGAGAGTTTTGCTTGTGTGTTTTTATGTGTTTTTCTCTGGCTGTTCAGTTAAGACAATCAATGATAATTTGGAAATGATATAGGCAGCAAGTTTTTTTGTGCTTTGTGGGCACGTGAAGCGGCGGTGGCAAGCTTGAGAGTTCGTTAAGTAAACTTGCCCACATGCCAAAGTCTTACCCGGGAGCTCTAGATATGTAATCCCAGTGTTCTGGAACACGAAAATCCCAACTGCAGAGGGGAGGAGGGGGGGCGGGTATCTAGGGCCCAGTGGAGGGGATATCCTCGATCATTCGGAGAGACCCGGCCAACAACCATTCTAGAAAGGAAGCAACGGCGAGCGGCGGATAATCCCCGCAGAGCCTCCTGAATGTCAGAATCTCACCACTTCAAATCACGGTCGTACAGGGGGTTTGAGGTTTGAGGCATTCTAGCAAAAGAGGATAACAGTTCCCCGGTTTATTGGAAATACGGGGACCTCATTGGTTGCATGCACCGGGAAGTGTTTTGCATGTAGGATATGTGCTCTGGATTTGGAATGCGGAAGTGACTCTCTCCCACTCTCACTCTCCCTCTTCCTTTCAAAAAGTTTTTCAAGAGCTTCTTTCTCCTGGATCTCCGGAGCACCGCGGTCGGAGGGACGGAGAGAGGGGCAGTCGTATGTTTTTTACCCGAATACTTCCGGTACGTCATACCACTTTTAGTCATGATTGAAGGTTTTGGCTAAGCCGATATTTCCCCGTCAGGGTGTATTTTTGGGATTTCTCCATCTTTAAAAACGATTGAGGCCTCGAGTTTGGAGCTGTCCATCATATTCAGCTTTGTTATCGGTTCATTGACCGTTATTGAGGTCTCTGCTTTTTGTTGTTTTCGAATTCAAGTTTTCTTGGCGAGCGAGGCTGTTGGCGTCATTCAGACGAAATCTTTAGCGTGGGTGCACAGGGTCAACCAATAAGAACATCACTTATTTTCCTACCCGTCTTTTTTTTTTTTTTCCCTTTCTCTTTTCTCGCATCGTGAGAAATAAATACGGTACTTCGGACACAACTTTTGTAAAAAAAATATTCAACATGAAGATTCTCACCAAGGAAGAAGAAGCCGGTATATACACTCCTCCACCCCACCAATAGAGCCCCACCAAAAACTAACATTCTACTTCCCCCCGCCATATAGCCCACTACAATGCCGTCCTTCGTGGTGGTATTACCGGAGGAGTCGTCGGTACCGCTGTCGGTCTCGGAACTGCCATGGTCCTCTCCAGGCGCTGGCCGTTCTTCAAGCAGCTCACCCTACCCTTCAAGGCCTTCTTCGTCACCTCCACCGGTACCTTCGCCGCAATCATCCAGGCCGACCGCTACTCGCGCGGCTTCGAGGCGGACCGCCATTCGGAGCTCCTCCAGTACAAGGATGCGACAGCGAAAGCTCTCGAGGAGGCCCGGCGCAACAGGACCCCTATGCAGAGGGCCATGGATTGGGGGAGGGAGAACAGATACACCATTGTGACGGCGAGTTGGGTTGCGTCCATGGCGCTCAGCTTGGGGCTGGTCAGCAGGAACAAGTACCTGACGGGGCCGCAGAAGTTGGTGCAGGCGAGAATGTACGCCCAGGGTTTGACCCTGTTGGTGTTGGTTGCGAGTGCTGGGTTTGAGGTGTCGGATGCGAAGAAAGGGAAGGGCAACTATGAGACTGTCAAGATCTTGGATCCGGATGACCCGTTGCACAAGCAATTGATCGAGAAGAAGATTCACCATGAGAGCTACGCGGGAGAGGACTTATGGAAAGGTGGGTTTGTTTAATACCCTTGAGGGTTTGTGGACTTGTGCTGACGGAGTGTGATAGATATGGTTGAGGGTGAAGAGAGGAGGTTGCGCGCACGCAAGGAAGCTGCTGCTGCCGCCGCTGCAGGGCGGTCATAAGTATCATTTTTAATGATTTTTTCTGTTTATTTCTTGTGAATAGCTTCTTTGGTGTGGTTTTTTTTGATAGACGGTTTGTGGCTGGCTGGGTGCATTTTTTCTTTACATTATTATCCCTTTTTTTACCCTTCGTGCATGTTTGCGGTTTTTCTATTCTCTCTTCTCCATTCCCTCTATAAAGTAAATGTGAAGTGAACCACGAGAATATTGATGTAGTTGATTTCCCCCCCCCCCCCTCTGGATTTCTTCTAGATGTTTCTTTTCCTAAAGAAATTATATCTAGTCCATATGCGTAGCTCTGACGAGTGTGATTCATCCTCCTCCAAACCATTGGGGCAGGTAACCAACCGTAGGCTGGCCCTTTAAATTAGTCAGAAAAGAGCGGCCAGCACTGATTGGCTCCCTTATCCTATCATCATTATCAATTGTTATTAGATAGATATCTCGTCCAGCTTAGGTACTGCAAGGTAGTGCGTGTAGTAAGACCAAACTATTGGATGATAGAAGAGACGATGAGAATATTAACAGGACTACTAAGCTTCTAGGTTTATACGAGGACAGGCTGTCACGCCACAGTTGTAGTATACTACGTATGTACCTTACTGACAGTCACGTATCCTGTACTTATATAGGCGCACAACACATGTACAGCGAATCGGCACGAATTGAAGTTTTCGTGAGGTGAACGGAAGCTTAGCTTATCCCTAATCAGCCATTGCAACTCTAAGAACTATGTTCTCGAGATCCAAGGGAAGGTAATTGCCATTGGTTGTATTGTGATTTAATTGGGCCTGGGGAGTTGAGGTGTAGGGTGATGAATAAGTAGGGAGTTGAGGAGTTGAGGAGCTCCGCCGGAAGCTTGATTTTTATTATTCAGAAATGTCACTCCCGAAACGCATGTTTGTTTTTATGAGGTGCATCACGTATGTTTAAAAGTTACATATGTATTCATACTTTTTTTTCGTGCCTGCATTATAAGAAAGAAAGAAGAGATATCTACTATACACATCAGAGAGAGAGAAAGAACAAGAAAGAGATGAAGGAAGGAGAAGGAGTCATTATCATGCCACAATTTTTCACAAAAACCCACAAACCCGAGGAACACTCTTCACCCAAGCCGCTCCAACAACCTCGCCTTCCTCCTTTCCACCAAAAACTCCGTCACATCATCCAAGCTCGGCACCCTCCACCCCCCGGGCACCGCCTCCCACCCCGCCGTCGGCTCCCCACCCGCACCCCTCATCGTCTTCTCCATCGCCTCCGCCTCCTTCCTGCGCTCATACGCCAGCAGCACGCCATCCTCCTCGTCGCGGTTGAAGCCATAGTACTCGGCATCGACATTCCTCCGCATCTCGCCCCGCGCGCGCTTCTCGTCGTCCTTCTTCCCCGTCTTCTTGGGCTGCAGCTCCTCAAACAGCTCCTTGACGCCCGGCAGCTCCCGCGCCCGCCCAAAGTACTTGTACCCCCGGGAGCCGGGCACGGCGCGCCCGTCCTCGTCGTAGGCCTTGGGCCCGAAGCGCATGTAGTTTGGCCCGCCGAGGTTGCGGAGCTGCACCTCCCACATGTGTTTCTCGCGCATGAGCTTGTTGATCTCGTCGTTGAGGTCGCGGATCTGGTAGTCGGAGAGACTGGCTGTATGGCTCACAGTACACTGTTAGGCGCGCCCAATTTACTCAAGAAGGGGCGGGAACGGAAAAACAACGTACGATCTTGGATTTTGGTCACTTTTCGTGAAATGTCCTTCACAACCTGGCCACGCCATTTCTCGCAGGAAGGGATCGAGTTCACTTCTGTGATGACCTTGGGCCGGCGGGTTCGCCCCGCGTCGATGATTCCGAGGTCGGCGGCTTGTTGCTCGCGGAAGCGGAAGAGCATGGACTGCGCTTTTTCACTGTTGCGCGCCTGGGAGGCATGTTAGCCGTGAATTGGGTAGCTGGGGGGGGGACTACCTACCATTTTTGAGGTTTTGGGGGGGTTAGGAGGGGCTTAGAGTGGGTATTTGAGGTGGTGAGAAATTGTGGTGGTGGTGGGAGATAGACGTGAGGTGAGGTGAGGTGAGGTGAGGTGTTGTTGGTCTACGCTTTGTGGTGATTGTGAGTGAGGCTCTTGTGGCTCGCTTGGGGCGCAAAGTAGATGGGGACCCCTGCCTGCCCTGTCTGCCCTGCCTGTGGAACCTGGAAATTGTTTTTTCTTCTTTTTGGGGATAGCTGCTTTTTCTAATGTCTGCTACTCTAATATTGCCTGGAGTATTGCAGACAAAAATAAAGACAAAGACAAAGACATTTGTTGCTTTACATAGAAGAGATCCGGTACTAGTATTAACATTACACATATTTAATCAACTTTCTAAGCACTCCCTCCCGCTGCCTTTGCACTCCTAAAAGCTCCCATGGTATGTTCCCACACTGCACTCATCTTCTCCTCTGAGAACCAGTCCCCGGACCTACTCATCCATCCCTTCGATCCCGTCCTTGTGTCTGTACTTTCACCTTTCCAATCCACCAACCACAAGCCCTTTCTAAACTTCTCATCCGTCCCCAACCACGTAAACCCTTGTCCACAATCGTCAATTGGAACCGAGAAACACTTCATGAGGGGTGTCGCGACAGTAGTCAGTACCCTCAGCGGTGTTGGCAGCTCCCGGCCTATTCCAGTCATTACAAAGCCCGGGAATGCGTGGATGAATCCGATTCCGGGATTCTGGTTGGAGAGGTGCTCGAACGCGAGGGAGGTCATGGTCACTGTATGGAGCTCACAGTTTAAGAGTGTGAAGTTGCCGGGTTTTGCAAGACCAAGATCGTCCATGATAAGAGGGCCCTCGCGGCTGGTTCCGAGGACACTGATGACACGAGCAGACTCCGAAGCCTCCGAGGCAGTCTTGAGGAGTGGGAGGAGGTTCGTGGCGAACTTTAGACGACAGTAGTAAGAAACAGTCATTTTACGGTCGAGGCCTTCGGGAGTTTCTTCGCGGCCGGCCATGCTCATGTAGCCGGGTGACATGAAGAGGAGATTTAGTTTCTTCTCCTTTGTAGCGATTTGGGAGCTGATATTATCAACATTTGAGAGCAGAGTTGTATCGGCCTGAAAAAACTGGATTTTGGAGTCGGGGTTGAGCTTTTGGAGCTCGGTGGTGATTTTTGCTCCAGAAGATTCGGATCTGGAGACATTAGTAGGGATTCTAGATTGGTGAGTGGATATAGTGTACTAACCGTCCTACGAAGTAGACTGTAGGTGCTACCGTTGAGGACACAAATGTCTTCATGGCAGTTTCACCAATTCCAGATGTTGCGCCAACTACATTGAAAAAGCTATCAGTACGATATAGCTAGCTAGCTACCTAGCTATCAGGGTGTAGAAACATACCAAACACAGCAACTAAGCCCTTCGCACCCGGCGTGCTTGAAAAAGCAGCATTCGTAGACCTTATCGAAGCTATTCCGACCATATTTCTTTCTTTGTTGATCTGTATAATTGTAAAATTCTGGCTGATAGTTTAACTTGTACTTCCTCCAGAGGTTGGACGCAACAATGAAGGTTTTTATCTAGGTCCCGGATTTAGTACACAGTCAGATTACGCTTAATTCCGCCCGCATCCTTGTGTAACAGAAGCTGCAACCGTACAGAAGCCTGAGCTGCTCGGTCTTCTACAGGCAGGTCTTGGCACGGGTGAATGATTCCTCTACAGTTTCCGGTAGAATTATTGCGAAAGTCAGAGTTAAAAGAGTGGATTTTGTTGGTCTGTGCTCGTAGCAAAAATCTTTTAAGGGCCAATAGGACTATCGGGTCACGGGTAACCCACTTTCGCAATAATTCTACCGGAAACTGTATGGGATGTGATTCGAACCGAGACAACATCTTCCATGTCTGAGTGGGAGAGTTTCGGCTCGGTTCGGAGGTAGAGTAAGATATGACATATGCGTTTTATGCTAATGTCCAGGTGGATAGATGAAGACCAATAGAGCACACATATTTGACATATTTGAAGACTAATCGTGATATCATGTTGGCCCGGCTAGATAGATACAAAAACCAATGGTTACCAGTGCCAAGCCTTGGTCATTGCTCGTTCCCGAGTGATAATACATGAACCAGGGTCAAGTCACATCCTTTTTATTATCTGGATAATCAATAATATCAATATGCCGTGAGAGCCAAGATATGTACCTGCATGTACCTATAATGCCCAAGGCAGTGGCAGTGGGTTTTCTTGGCTAGCCCATTTTTCCGAATTCATAATGGGGCCTGAGGATCATGGGCGTGTTGTCACTGTTGTCTCCAAGATAATAGGTCCATAACGGGAATTTGTAACAGAATGCAGACCATATGTATCTTGTGTCTTAAGATGTAGGACACTGTTCCAAATCGAAGTTGACAGCCGTTGCCAACACTGTACCCCGCGAATGACAAGGTTCCCGGCGCTCCCAGAAAGTAGGCCACTTTGGAATTGTGGGACGGCATATCAATGAGCTCATATCATATTTGCTTCTCAGAGAATGCCGTTTTGGGGAGACCGGCGATGCACCTGTGCTTCTGTACTTGTGCGGTAGATAAGCAAGGTATATTGCTTCAATGCATGTATTTATATATAGTTAAGGATTGTCCAGTTGAAGGTTCCAATGTACTCTAGACTTGAGCAGCCTGTAAGAATCAGTGACGGCTGGTATCGATCTCTATCACCGCAAACACCTCTTTTCGTTTTTCCTTCCTGGGGGTTGTGATGGCTTGGGTAGATAACGAGTGAATGGTACATAGATGTTTATACCTCCACTCGAGTTCACCCCCTCACTCAAGGATTTGACCGTGGCTGGCGAAGAGGCAATAGAAAATGGTCACATGCATATCGTTTATATCCATCCACTTTTGCGGTTTAAGTGAGGGGTTACCCAAGCGAAGGGCGAAAACATTTCTCAGATTGTTTAGTCCAACCTATCTCAGGCACCGAATTCTGACCGCTCTTCAGCCTATCGTTCTTCGATTTGATGTCGGTGAGGGGCTGAGCTATAAGCGAATGCCTTTGGCGGTGATGGCGAGGCATTAACGAGAGGGGGTTTCTGAGAAGGCAGTGGAGAGGGATAGACACGAATCGGGTGAATTCCTGGAGAGCAAGTCAGCTCATTGGTAAATGGATGGCATTCGGGATTTGCCTTTGGTGGAGTGACCTGGTGACGGGGATAAGTGGCTTTAGACAAGTTGGAAACCTCGGAACAACAACGGTGTTCTATCCGTCGGAACAACATCTCAATAATCTGGGCATATCGGCCCGTGCCGCCCCAAGAATGCCGAGGTATGGATATTTGGCACCGTTATATATAAGAACGCCTTACCAGGTAAGCATGCAATTGGCTACTCAGTTAGGTAAATAGAATTGTTCATTACCTCTAAAGGGTCTCTCTCTGCCTCTCTCTCGCTTGTGTCATTTCATTTATGCATAAACCGGGCCGACCCGAGTGAGCCCCAGTGACCGAGTGATGGGTGTTTAATTCCCTCCCTATCTAACTGAAAAAGCTAAACTCACCCGGTTTAACATAAGCGAGCCTTGGCAGAAACATGGCGACAACATGCGATGCACAACGCATGGCGCCTTACAGTTACCAGTAACAAATTTTTTCAGGTAGCCGCCTAGCTAATGATATTGTAATCCATACCGAAGAACAACACATGGCAAAAGGGCTGCATGAGGGATTCCTGGACGCCGAATATATGTAAGTATGGAGAGAGATAGTTGCATGTACGCATGTGTATCGTCTGGTATTTGACAGGAACACGAAGAATGAGCCTCATGCTCCCAAGGAAACAAACCCTGGATTTATCCTTATACTACCAAGTAGCTATGGATACCCATCCTTGGAATCATAATTCCGGGCAGTCCATCCAACCCAGCCAGTAGACTTCGACGCCTAGACTCCCCACGCAACATCCACCATGCAAAGATCAAGCAGCTAGGGGAACCGTGAGTTGACTGTACGGAAGACGCGAGTACACATACGTGGGCGCTGAACCGGCAAGGCCCTGCAGAAAGAAAAAGCCTCCCAGTATGTACTCTACTATGCTCTACGTACATAAGTGACATACTCTGCTTGCGTGTGCCTGCTCTACAGAGATTACTTAGCTACACCCACATGCCTAGGTATCCGAATCCTCAACCCCTCCCCTTCCTCCGGTAAATACTGTACTGGCTATCACCTACATCCATACCTGCAATCACTCCCATTCCTCGCGACTTCGACCCGGTCGCTGGCTGCTGGCTGGCTCACTCGGATTCCAGAAGTACGAAGTCTGCATACATTAAATACGTACCCCGGAAACTGGTCATAGAATATAGAGTACCCACATACGTATATAGGTGTGAATTCATTCGGTAAGTCTCATCCAAGATTCTTCGTGCCTGGTGGGTGATTCGATAAGGCTGAAAACAAGGTGCATCCTGCCCATAAATAGCTGCCCTTAAATAGCTGCCCTTGGAGAAAAAGGGAAAGTAAAAAAAAGAAAAGATCTGCACTTTTTTAAAGGCCACCGTTTTATAAAAACTACCCCTTCATCCCCATCTCAACCATCTCTTCTCCGGTAGTCAAAAAGAAAAAAAAATCGACCATAATATCGTCATGAACATCCCTCAAGAAATCATCGATCAGATAGTGTCGTACCTCCCCGACCAGGTCAGCTACGTGAGAGCGGCGTTGGTCAATAAGGCGTGGAATTACGCTGCAACCTCAATGTTGTACCGCCATATCGGTATGGAGTTCATGCCCCGGAATTCTCACTTTGGGGATATGGAGTACCGGGGGATGTACAATGTTTGTTTGGCACTGGCAAAGTATGTTGCTCTCTTGCGTACCTCTATAGTCAACTACATGTAGCTTGCAGAAGCTGAATTTGTCCTCAATTGCTCTTCAAGGAACCCTTATACCAGTTCAGTGGTCCAATCACTTCTATTGTACTTCCACCAGCCCCAAGCCAACACAACACAACAACAGGAATGGGAACCTTCATTATCACAAATTCGGTCACTTTTGAAAGAAGTCATCGACCGCAACGGGCTTCCTCGGGTCAGAAAACTGTCACTTTTGTATCCTGATTTGCAAATCGCCCATATCCTTCTGAAAGGACTGTTGCCGCAAATACACAGCTTGCAAGTCGTCTCACCAGCCTTTAAACACTTGTATTTTGAGTCCGAGGAACCAACAGTGCTCAGCAACCTCCAGGAGGTGGAGTTCCAGTTTACTCAGGACATCTCTCGACGGGGAGGAGGTTTTCTGTTTTCCGGTGAGCAACTAGCACTTAACCAAGAGTGGAAAGTGATGGAAGACAAAATGCATGCCCGAGTCAACGGTTTTTTGTCTCGATGCCCATCGCTCCAAGTTTTGAAAATAACTGGAACGAAAGAGCTTCACACATTACTCCAATCGGTCCATTTCCCATCGCTGAAAACCCTTGAAATTGGCCAGGTTTTCAGTCACCAGGTCGACTTTGCGGTAATCTGCCTGAGTTCATTCCTTGAACGCCATCCAACAATCACACGGTTGGCAGTCAATAGATTACCTGATGGTTCTTCACATCCGTTTATCATCCCGAAAGAATCAGTTCTCAACATCCGAGAGTTCATATCCTGCATCGAAGAGGTTCCATCAGATTATCTCAGTTTTATCAGACAATTCCAACAGCTAGAGACATTCAGACTTGAGCACCACATGATAGTAGGATCAATCTCACACAGGGAGGTTCTTGAATTGCTGCCCGAGCTGCAACACCACCAGCCGGGAATAAAGAACTTGACACTGCCAATGCCAACACACATATCGGGCTGGACACTAACAGACGAGAAGCGAGCACTGGCAAGATCTGCACTAGCGGAATTTGGCGTGGCATTCGCGGGAAGTGTCCCGGCAGTTGAAAAGTTTGGAATCAGTCAGGTTGGGCGGTTTGATATGGAAGCAGTAAGCGCATCTCTCCTTCCCATATATATTCTTTGCATGTACAGTATTAACATGGCACTGGGTATTAGTCGGAATGGGCACAGGCACTTTCTTTCCACAACTCCCTTCGATACTTTGCTATCAAAATGTCGTTCCTCCCTACCATATCTGTTCACGAACCGGCGAGCTACAGACAAGGCCTCATCAATGACATAGCGCGATCCTTCTCCGCGGTGCCAAAACTGGAGACCGTGGTATTCTTTGAATCCCTCAATCAACAGGCGGTCAAAGTCACAATCCAGAGACTCGATCACGGTGTCGTGGAAGGTATCGAGGAACTGATAAGTGTCGAAGATGTGAATGAGGAGTTTTTTGACGAATTCTTCGACTCAGGATGGTGATTGTAGAATTCCAGTCAGCCCTTTTTTTTTTGTTGGGATGCAGTGATTTTCTAGGAATGGAAAGGTTGAGGGGGAAATAAGCAATTATTTTTGGTTATCTACATGTGGTTATGTACTCATGCGTATGTTGTCGTGATTGTCTGTGCTGTATCTAACCATACCATACCGGTATGTACCGTACACGTAATATTTTTCTTGGGATAGAAAGGTAAAGATTTCCTAGTCATATTCGCCAGCCCCTAGTATTAGAAATATGTTAGGCCTAGGCCGGGCGATCATTTTATGGGATCTTCTCATGCTCATGCACGTAACCACTCTAGTTACCGCTTCACGACCTATCACTCGCGGAGCTAGTGAAAGCGAATGGAATGTGGAAATGATAACCGAATCTTATCTTCCTGTATCCACGTGGCTAACACGCTATTCCGTATTGCCAAGCTGACTCCCTAGCTTGTTACGTTATATATATTCAGAGAATTCTATCTTGCTAAGGGATTTGCGTTCAGTATTACCATCGGGGCTAGGGCAGTTGACAGGGCGACGCGTGGGGAAGACGTTGTGGGCCACTTCGAAGAAAATCTTGAATAATAGGGGGGAAGAGGCTAGTGAAAGACATAATCGAAGCTACCCTGAATGAGGCTTCGGAACACCTCAGCTGGTGTAGCTACCCCATTATATCTATCAGGCCAAGCGCTACTATTCCATTAACATAATTGACCGTAATCTTCATCTTTTGATATGACTAAATATGTGTCGAAGTTGATCCAAATCATACTTCCATCCTGGAAACACGGTAACTAATGTTCAACTTTGACGTCGTCTGTTCTCGTTCTGCCCGAGTTTTGGAGAAGCCTGGGTTTGAGATATATTCTGGTTCCTTGGAGCGATGCTATCAGTCTTCAAACGTTTTGTTCGAGGATACATACCGCATAGTGACTCTCTGCATAGCTGTCCTACTGAGAGCGACGCTGGAAGTAGCATTATCTCGATTCTTCAGAGAACTAACTGTGTTGTCTATATTGTCGTCTATCTTTCGGATGGGGGTTGGCATGTTGATTCTCCTGCCTGAGAATGAGGAGAGATAGTTTCTTCCCTGGAACGATTCCGTGTAGTCACGTTTGTTGCTCTCACCGAAACTATAAATATCTTTAGTAGTTCTTGCCTTGGACTTTGCTATAGGAGTTAAAGGTTGTTCTCAAATTCATGAGAAGAGAATCCAGTATAGTCCTCTAGCTCGTACACCTGGAAAGGAAGGCATGGTATCCCATAAATTTGCTATTGGGCCGGCTAGCTTGGATAGTACATGTAGGTTATCAGAAGTAGAGTACGTACTGGATCAAGGAGACTCAGGAGAGAGCTGGCTTGTACTACAAGGTTGAAAGCCATATCTGTCCATATATGGGTTGGTAAGCGTTCATATCTCTAGTCGCACAAGCGTTCAAATCGAAGCCAATCTTCCGCGTACAGCCGCATCCAAGAACAAGTGCTGTGGAATCGTCCAGAAACGTTTGAATATTTGATTAGGGGATTAGGCTGTCGTCATTGGGTTTTTGGATGATTTGAAATTTGAAGCTTGCGTGGGGTATAAAAGCATAACTAAGGTCTCGGGAATAATTAATTTGATTACTTACCTCGGCATGCCGTTGAGTGTTTTGCCGAGGAATCAGTAATACAGAAATAAGCTTAAGTTAGGGTCTTGGCAAGAAATGATCACTAAACAACCGTTTGATATCAACAGCTACAATACTTGATTAGAATTTGAGTATCAAACAGTCATAGAGGAGGACGAGGTATTATGTGCGATCAAATATTTATATAGATTATAAGCGGTGCTCCGTTGAAAGACCCAATTTTTCTAGTGCTTATTAGCAGTGATTTCGAGTTATAGCTAAGTTTTGGTGTTTACCTCTTTCGACGGCTTATTTACTTTAAAATGTCGCAATTACCTCACGTATCGAGCAGTCAAGACGAAAGCCTAGATCTCGAAAAGGCCTCCACAGCCCATAAAGAAGAACCAAACACCAAAGAACCCCATCCCCAGGCCAATCCCTTAGACTGGGATAGCCCCGATGATGCCGACAACCCAAAGACATGGAGCCTCAAGAAGCGTCTTTTCCACAGTGTCATTCCCGGTCTCTTTAATTTTGTCGTGTAAGACAAGCCCCTCTTGTGAGCCAATGTGTATGCAGCTAGCAAAATTAAATCAAAAGCCTAATCCTAACACACCCATGCCTATACTCCAGATCTCTCGGAACCTCAATATACACCCCCGGCGTCCCCCAAATTAGCAAAGACTTCCACGTGACGCCCACAGTAGCTCTACTGGGTCTTACTGTATACTCACTTGGTCTTGGCCTCGGCCCGATCATTGGTGCTCCGATATCAGAGACGCAAGGACGGAAGGCGGTGTACGTGTTAACGCTGCCGTTTTCACTTCTTTTCACTCTCGGCGCAGGGCTGGCGCAGAATTTCGAGACATTGTTGGTATGTAGGTTCCTTTCGGGGGCATTTGGAAGCCCGGCTTTGGCGGTGGGGGCTGGCACGATTGCGGACATATGGGTACTTGAAGAGGGGGGCGGGTTGGCGACTGTGCTGGTTATTTTGGCGCCGTTTATGGGGCCGGCTTTGGGTACGTTGTGTCTTATTGGTATTTTATGATCGGTGCTGATGGGTTGAGTAAATATAGGCCCTCTTATTGGCGGATATACGGTACTTCACCGTTCGTGGGAATGGCTGATGTGGGCGCTCCTTATCGTCGGACTTCCGATTTACCTCTTAACCTTTTTCACCTCCGAGACGTATAAAAAGGTCATTCTCGCTCGGCGGGCCAAGGCCCGTGGTCTTCCAATCCCGCCGGGACCAACAGGTGTTCAAGCTGCTAAAGTGCTGCTCACAATTACACTCATCCGGCCGCTTCACATGCTTGTTACTGAGCCCATTGTTGGGTTTATCTCGCTTTATGCTGCCTTTTCGTTCGGCGTCCTATTCGCATTCTTTGCGTCTTTCCCATATGTCTTTGGGATTGTTTATGGTTTTGATAGTGGTTCTGTAGGCCTAGCATTCCTAGGGCTGTTTTTTGGGCTATTTTTGGCAGTGGGGACGTTTGCTGCGTTTGATAGGACGTGGTATGCAGCAGCGAGGGAGAAGGCCAAGTTGGAAGGAAAGGCGACGGAACCAGAATATAGATTATATGCGAGTATGGCCGGGTCTTTAGGGATCCCAATTTCGCTCTTTTGGTAAGTTGTCTAGCCAGAAAGTTCTTCCCCGATGTTAGTTGAACTGACGGGTTGGATAGGTTTGCCTGGTCTGCAAAGAGAGATGTGCACTGGATTGTACCAATTCTTGCTGGAATCCCGTTTGGCTGGGGAAATCTTTGTCTTTTTGTAAGACCCAGTAATTATCATTTTTTTATGGTCAGTATAATTAACAGTGCTACAGCTTGGAACAACAACTTATCTTGTGGATGTGTACCACGCCCTCAACGGTGCGTCTGCCATGGCTGCCAATGGACTTCTGAGATATGCTTTTGGTGCAGTGTTTCCTCTGTTCACTGTGCAAATGTATAGAGGACTTGGGATTCCATGGGCGGGAAGTCTATTAGGATTCTTCAGTATTTTGTTGCTACCAATTCCTTGGGTATTGTTTAAATGGGGCGATAAAATCAGGCAGAGGAGCTCTTATCCTACTGGTCAGAATATTGCTAGGTGACGAATTCGTCAGAAGGTTTAGGGGTGACCAGTGCTTTTCAGTTATTCCTTATTAGATTATTTAGATTGGTATTATTGGCCCGCACATGGAGTTTCTAGAAGTATATAATTAATTAAAGAAATGAAATCTATAGTTCCGTATCTCTTGTTCTTACTATACATATCTTAGAGCGTATGTTGCATACTGGAAATCACTGTTGGGAGGATGTTAACTACCTGTTGGATTCAACTAAATACCTCTAAAGTATAGCTAGACTCTGGTGACTCTCTGACTGACCACGCCGCTCGCGCGATATTTCTTGGCTCATGCTCCTCGAAGGTCATAGCCTGGTACACTATCACTGTTAGTTTATCGATTTACAGACTCTACGCAATACTAAAAGCTTACTGAGTGACTACACGGTCCACGATCAGTACTTGAAGTGATATATGTATTGTGTATCGTTGGATATGAGATTTGCAGATTCTAGCGAGGAAAATTAGCTTTGAAACCGTCAGAAAATTGCGAATAAGGTGCTCAAAATTACAATCAATGCTCCTTTTGCCTGTAAGCTTGCCATTCTGCGATCCCTATGGTCAGGGCCGTTCACTTCTCCACTAGTATAGTATGAGGTTTGATGTATGCATGTTGGGCTTGCATGATGATAGGTTTGGGGCTTAAAGTTCTCAGAGATATGTCCAATCAACTCTGCCGAGAAAGCCCGAAGGTCGTTCAATTGGCTCTAGGTGAAATAGTCAGCTTTATGGGAGTCGATATGGTAATTAATCTGTGATTTAGGGCATACGTTTGTAAAGGGCTTTAATGCCGTAATCATATATTCCTTGACACCCCTCTGATTAAAACACAAGTATTTCAGAAGTTCAAGTTGAGGAATTCAGAAGAGATACTTGGTTGAGATTTATACGAGCATATGCTTCCGGGCCAAGAAGAAACAAATGTTCTCCTGCAGAACTTCCAACTCTATCCCTTCCGCTGGTATAGGATAAGTGATAAGGTTTGGTCTTACAAGGGGGAAAGGCGTGAAGTTTTGGCTCATGGCTCCAAGATTTGTGTATGTATAAGTGCAAACTTTCGAAGAAACGATAAGGTGGGTTTAACTAACAGGAGCTGTCCGTTCGAAAGCCACATAACTAACCGGAGTATTATCTGTTTCTTAAAAGACTTTTGACAGTTGCTCCTGTACTGTGCATTTTAGCAAAATTTGTCGTCCTATTATTTCCGTCAGCCTCATTTTCTCGCCTTACATGTTGTTTGTCGTTCAACTGGAAATGATCATCGTTGTTCCTCGGATTGGACGCCCTAACAACCCGAATAACTTAGAATACTTATGTGAGACAAGAAGGATAAACCTTGGTACCGATGTCTAGCCCATTTAAATACGCACCGGTCGATCGTACAAGATCGAGGTTTCCTTGGTACGATCCTCCGCGACATTCCATGCTATACTCCAGTTAACGGTCATAAGCGCGCATATAAAACGCAAATCCTAACACAGCTGCAGGCATACATATATATCACCGATAATCGACCAGGAGTTAGTTAGGGTTTCTCGGTCCAGTGCCTTATTGAACCTGAAACCCGGGTGGACACGTATCAGCCCTGCGGCAGGGTAGACTTCTCCGGGATCTCTGCGGAAAATGTTTAGGCAACGGCCCTCAGTGAATACTCCACATCTATCCGTTAATGACGTACTGGCATCTTGCTATTGACCAATCTAGACGTCTCAAGGGTATCTGTGAGGAATTATGGTTATTGCACTTCTTTACACTGCCAGCATACTTACTGTGACTCAGTCGATATATCTTTGCTGCATATTAGGAAATAGTCCGCTGCACGCCCCCTTAAGGTTGACAGCTGGTCTCACTCCGCGTGGATATGGTTACTGCACTTCAGGTCGATGCAAGGCACATGCACTTTAAGGCTGTGGCCGGGTTGGAAAATGGACCCAACATTCAAGAAGTCAAATTCAGAGTGTTGTATGTGTGCCTGGAGCTGCGTTCAATAAGGATAGATAGCAACCAACTTGAGGCGTAGGGCGTAGAGAAGTATACATGAGGAGTCAAATAAAGTTTGGAAACAGAACTGTTAGTTTTATCGTTTTAACTTTGCCAAGTCCGTAACGATTTGCAGTTTGTTGGCTACATAAAGTTTGTGACCCGGGATATCACAGAAAGCACATGCAGTGATTTCGAAAGTGTACGCCCAAGGAAGGTCCTGACGGATTGATACCTGGGGACAGGGAAGTAGATCTCTTCCCCGCTACGCGGTACTGATGATCCATGACCTGGTTCAATCACATCCTCTCACTCGGGCCTTAGCCCCACAGTCTTTGCCAAGAACCCATCCCTGGCTATTACATTCTTGGAGTCGACAGGAGGATAATATTTCAGGTCCGCATCTTTCCCGGTCCTGGTAATGGGCCGAGACTGGTGGGTCCTTCATGCAAAGATATCTATAGCTGTAGGTTTATCCCATGGCTATAAAGTCTAATCTCTCTTTCTTCCCACCCATAGGTAGCAAAGCTTGGACCTATGAAACCCACGGGACAAACCTTCTACTTTGCCCCTCGACGACAACAGCCAGGAAGCAACGGAAGAAATGTGTTGCCTGTCTCCACAGACAATACCACAAACATGGTCCCGGGGTCTGAAAGAAAGTAACCCACAGCCCAGAGACGTGGCTCGCGATGAGCCCTTGTCTCCGGACCGGCTCAGTAGTCAGATGTTAGTCTGGGGAGAGAAATGTGTGGACTACTCTCCCTCCCGGAGCGCCCACATGTCAGAATACACTTCCGGCTTACGTACGGTACACCACAAAGAACATACGCACCGCCGCAGATTGGGCTAAAAGCGAAGTAAGCAGCTAACGCTATTGAGGGCAAGTCTCGACTCTCGCCTTCAGAATGATCTCCCTTCTAACGTAGAGAATAACTACCTTATTGTTGTTTTCCGGGTGCCCCCTCATACGCTGGATCGGGGGCGAAGTTTGTTGAATTGGGGCCAGGCTTGGGACGCTTCTAACCCAGTCCTTTCCAAACGATAAGTCACACTGGTTGAGTCTACTGCCCACGTGTTTCATGGCGACTGTTATAATCAAAACCGAAGCCCAACTACGACATGAAACGATTGTACCCCATACACTGTTCCAATCCTTATATTAGTGTGTGGTTGGTCTTACGGGGCTGCAGAACATATCTTCATGATCTCTCACTCGTAGTAGTCCACCCATACGTATCACTCTCGAATTTCTGCCAGTGACTCGACTTCTGGCACCTCTGCTGCTGCTGGCTCGAGTCGGCTCAACCTGCATCAGGTCTGGGCTACTGTTTGTATATGCAGCCTAGTTTCATGATAACGGCCATGATCCGTGCCCCAGATAAATCCAAGGTCTGGATATATTGCATTCCGCACACCGTTCCACTTCTAATACCAATGTGTGTGCTAGTCTTTCAGTTTGCAGGACTTATCTTAATTAATGAATTAAGCAAACAAACAAACAAAAAAGCAGGACTTATCTTCATGGTTTATCACTCGTAGTCCACTAGTCTCAAACTCCCATGAGCAACTCAACTCAATATTGGGAGGTGCATATCCGATGAGCTCATGGTAACTGTAGATGTAACTGGTAAGAGTCGCAGTAATGAGCTAATTGTCGAGATCTGTCTGTGGTGTGAGCTTGGTCATGCCTACCATCACTGTACGGATAAACGACGTTGTGAGTTAAGTTGCAACGTTCAGTTTCCGCACTCATCATGAGGGACCATCCTTCAGGACAGCATTGTAAACGGATGGTGGGGGGTCAATCTTGAAGGGATGGTATAAGTAAAAGTGATAAATGAAAGAGATAAACAAAAGCAGGAGTGACTGAAACAGGGCGAAACAACTCAAGCAAGAATCCGAGAGGGAGAATGTGGCAGCGAGGAGGAGTGAAACGATCTTAAGAAGATGATTTCTTGAGAAGAGGGCACGTAACTGGTCTTTCTTTTTCCATCACAAGGGACTGCCCCTCAAGATGGTGGTGGAAACAAAAGGAAGAAGAAAAGTCCAAAGCTGGAGGCAGAAGAGCATGGATAGTAGTGGCGATATGGGGGAAAAGTATCACGAAAGACGGCGGGTGAGTGGGGGAGAGGCAACGATCTCAATAGATGAATCCGTGAGAAGAGAGCTAGTCCCTCGCTTTCTTGATCTCCGTACTAGATGGGGCAGTAATGCATGTAGTTCAGACGAGGGCAAGATATGGGGTGAGTGAAAGAAAGATAGTTCAAGCTACGATTAGATTATGGGACCAGAGATCTGATCGATATCACACTTAACCTACGAGGAGGAGGGCCAATAATCTCCAGAAAAATGTCAATAAATTTACAAAAAGTCTTGCTGGAGAGTATGCTTTTCAGGGTGGTGAGTGCCATTTATTACACATAACGCCAGTATAGACTCCCACCCCTCGGGATTGAACCCATGACCTACTGATGGTCATGGGGACTCAACCCACTCGGTGTCCTCCGTTGACGATGCGTCTACCATTAGACCACACTCGCCCACACAACTTTCAGCACCCCGGAAGTAATACTTAAGGGGGGCGAGGTAAAGCGAGCTAGGGATAGGACACCTAACCCTGCCATGACAATCTACCACAACGTACATCACGACACACTGGCTAACCTCCTGTAGGGCAATAAAAGGGAAAGATAACAGGAGACCAAGAAGGTGTTGTCTGGATTGGTAGGGATGGTAGTGGTGGGGCAAAGTGCGGAAATGAATGGGGAGCGGCCACGGTAAACACATCGGACAACGAAGCTCAAGCGGGAGTGGTCTTAGCCTGCCACGGGAAGGGGGGAGCTATGCGTTCCTCGGGATGCCGCAGCTACGGATTCGGGAGTGACATCGACTTCCGACAAGGAGGCCCACAAGAATACGGCTGAGGGAAAAGTACAGTGGCCGGAAGGGCCTAGTTGTAAGTGGAACTGGCCAGACCGGTACATGTAGCCACACCAAAGATTGGATCGAGAGAGTTACCCAGACGAGTGAAGAGCTACGTATACGATGACCAAACGAGCTGCGTAGATCGCAGTCGAGTGACAGTCCATGACCCTATAAAAACACAACACAGCCGGTCGACGGACCCCAACTCAACTACTATTCAGCATCAACATCGCGGGGACAATCTTTCCTCACAGCCAACTACATCTCGAGGATCCACAAGTATTTTCCACAAGCTGGCTATATGCACCATGATACTCTCCCCTTCTTCCGTTGAGTTGAGTAGAGCGCAACAGAATAGAACAGAATAGAATAGAACGGACCGATACTCACGACTTCAGCAAAATATTCTAGCTATATTCTAAATCTTTATCCTCACAACGGCCTCCCCTCGAACTTAGGACCAGCCAGCCACAATATAGAATCAAGTGTCACTATGATTACCCACCCAATAAAGAGAAGAGAAGAGAAGAAGGGAAAAAGGAAAAAGGGAGGGGGCCAAGAAAGAAAAGAAATCAAGACCAAGCCGCCAATAAGGTAAGTAAAAGAAACAAACGAACCAGCCAAACACAACGCAGATGCAATATTCAATTCCATTCCCACCCCCAGTCCCCAGTCCCCCTCCCCCCCCCCGCCCCCCACAAACTCACAAACGACTGATAATACTACCGTCAGGACTCCAAGGGAGGAGTGGGAAAAAAATCACAACACAAGAAAGAAGATAGAGAAGAAGAAGGAAGGATAAACGCCCAAAGCAAACTCCGTTATCCCCTGAACCCAAACAAAGCACACACAAAAAACCCCACAGCAAGTAAAAAATATGGTACGCAAATCCGATCACTCATTTCATCCGGAAGAGAGAAAAAAAAAGGGAGAATTAACAAAGAGAAAGAAAAGAAAAGGAGAAAGAAGGAAAAGAAACTCTCATCTTCCTCAATATGAATAATGGGGGGAAGGTAAGAGAAAAGAGAATCCAATATACAAATGTCCCACTAACATGCATTATTACGCCGCACTCGTCGTCCCCAAATCAACCTTTTTCGCCACGGGCTCACTGCCCCCCTCCTCCAACGGCCTCTTCACACCACCACCAGCACTTCCACCAGCGACGGCAGCGGCTGCAGCGGCTGCTGCTGCAGCCTCTTTAGCTTCCCGCTCCTTCTTTTCCTTTGCCACTAACAGTGCACGGTACAGTGCCTGCTTCTTCTCGATCGACAGGTTTTTATAGTTAGTCGTAGCCAGCGCTGTCGGCTTCTGCGCCTGCTGAGGAGTCTGTGTTTGCTGAGGCGCTTGTTGGGAGGTTTGTGCCTGTGGGGCAGCTGGGGCCTGAGCCGGGGCTTGGGCTTGAGCCGGAGCCTGGGCCTGAGCTGGGGCCGGGGCCGGAGCTTGAGTGGGAGCTGGGACAGGAGCAGCCGCGGCAACCGGAAGCTGCGGCTTCATAGGCGACTTCAAATCCCTGACGCCCCTCGCCTCCAGCAGCCTACTGAGCTGCTTGACGACCTCGACGCCCACGTTCTTGAGTTTTCCACTGATAAGCCCATGCACGACGGACTGCGCTTGCACGACCAGCTTCGGATCCAGCCCCGACGCGTCCCTGCTTGCCGGGTCCGACGAGACCCGCGAAAGCTGGTTCTTGAGCACCTCTATCGCGGCAATGATCTCCGGGGACGCTGCAAGCTTCGACGGCGGCGGGATGGGGGCGTGCGGGAACTGCTGCGTGGGTTGCTGCGTGGGCTGCTGCTGCTGCTGGGGCGGCGGGGGCCTGTGGACGGGGACCTGCTGCGGCTGCGGGGGCGGCGGCTGGTAGGCTAATGGCATAGGCGGCATTCTCTGCTGCTGCTGCTGCGGGTAGACCTGCGGGGGCGGCGGGGGCGCAGAGGGGTGTGCGTATTGCGGGCGCTGGGGGATGTGTGCAGGGTCCGGGGCGTACATGGGGATCTGCGGATGGAAGTGGTGACCGTTGGCCTGCAGCTGCTGCGACGCATGGTGCTGTTGATAGTACTGCATGTTTTGCTGTGGATGCGGCGGATGGTGCTGCTGCTGCTGGTATGCGGCGGGGCGCTGGGCGGCGATGTTGGCCTTGTTCTTCTCCTTCTCGATGGAGACGCCCTCGTTGATGCCCCACAGCCAGCCCTTCCCGCTGCGCGTAACCTTGGTGAACGCTTTGTGGGCGCCGAGGTTGTGGCGGACACTGCTCTGCCAGCCGGTGGTGGTGACCCGCAGCTTGAAGTAGGGGTACTTGCGCTCGATGGCCTTGTAGATCTGCGGGAGCGTGAGTGCCTGCTGGCCGCTGTTGGAGATGGCCTCGTGGATCAGAATGACATAGGAGGCCGAGGGCTTGAGCAGCGCCTCCGGGGGGTAGTCGGCCTCGTTGATCTCGGGCGATGGAGTGCGCTTCTTGGGCTGCGGCTTCTCCTTCTTGGGCTTTGGCTCCTTCCGCTCGCGCTCACGGCCACGGGGAGGGGATGGCTCCTGGTGGATGTTGGCGTGTGGGTGCATTGCGATCGGGGGCGTATAGCTCGGGGCCGAATTGTACAGCTGGGGATCGATCGGCGGGGCTGACGCATTGAACGCCGCGACAGCCATGAGGGGATTGGACGGCGAGAACGCCTGCTCCGGCTCGGGGATCATCTGCTGCTGCTGCGGCGGCGGCGGCGGAGGGGGAGAAAGCGATTCAGTCGCCGATGCCAGTGCAGCCATTGGGTCAGCGTATGTATGGTGGTTCTCGTGCTGCCCCTCCATGTCCTGTTTTGGCTGTTCTGGTACCGGTGGTTGCTGCTGCTTGGGCGGTCTTCCAGGCCCTTTCTTGGTGACTGGCGACTGCTGAGCCAATGATTTTTCAGCCTCTTTTTTCTTGGCGGGCGTGGGCAAGTACAGCTTTGTCGCCTTCTTGGGCTCCTCTCTGGGCTGCGGGAGGTGCAGCTTCTTCTGCTGCTCTTTGCGCTGCTCACGCTCACGGCGTTCTCGCTCCTTCTCGCGCTCCCGTTCACGCGCGAGCTTGTCCTTTTGACGCTGACGCTCCTCCTTCTCGAGTCTCTTGCGCTCTGCAGCGCGCTCCCTTTCTGCCTCCTTCTGGCGGCGTGCTGCCTCGAGCTTCTCCTTCTTTCTACGCTCCTCCTTCTGGCGGGCGAGCTCTTTGGCACGCGCCTTCTCCGCCTCAATCCGGGAGTGGACGGACTCGTCTTTGCGTGGGCGGCCCCGGCCCCGTTTCTTCTCGACCATGATAGGCTCAGGCGGCGGTGGGGCCTCCTCTTCCTCGTCGGAGGAGGACGAGAGCTCGCTCGAGGAATCGCCCTCGTTCTCGGCGTCGCCCTGCTCGGCCTCGTCGTCCTCGACCTCGACCTCCTCCTCCTCCTCCTCGTCCTCGTCGCCCTCCTCGTCCTCATCATCGTCCTCCTCGTCCTCCTCGTCGTCCGAGCCCTCCATGCTCCCGTCACTGTCAATTTCGCCGTCGCCCTCTTCATCCATCTGGGCCATGTCCTCGTCCTCGTCCTCGTCCTCGTCCTCGCTGTAGTCGTCGGTCTTGACTTCGTTGCCATGCTCGTCTGTGAACGCCAGACTCATCTTGCCCTTCCCTCTGCCTGGTGGCGGCCGTGCCGGCTGCTCCTGCTTCTTCTCCTCAAACTGGCCCCCGCCCTGCTCAACCGGCACCACAATCTTGAAGCCGATGCCGCCAATCTGGACCCTCATGCCGGCCTCGGGAACAACCCACGTGGTCCCCGACCCCACAAACTCCTCGTCCACGAACGCCCCGTTCTTGCCCGTGACCTTGAACTCGAACCGGCGCTTGGCAAAGTTGTACGTCAGGAGTGCATGTCTCCGCGAGATGTTCTTCCGCGGAGGCAGCGGCAGCGTGTCCGCGCCATTGAGCGGCAGGTGGATGACGGGTATGTCGTCCTCCTCCTCGGCCTCCCCTCCACGGAGCATCTGCGGCCTCATCACATCGTCGCCACCACCGCCACCACCGCCACCACCGCCGCCGCCGCCGCCGTCGCCGCCACCGGCGTTCTCGTCCTTCTTCTTCCTCCGCTTCTTCTTCTCCCTCTTCATGCTCATCGCGCCAGGCGCCGTCTTCGGATCAAACCCGCCAAACCCCATGCCCATGCCCGCGCCGCCCACAACCGTGCTCCCGTCGGGCCCGCACTGCTGGAACGAGCTGCTGGTGGCGCCCTCGGCGCGCCCAAACACCACGGACGAGTTCTGCACGTAGAAGACCTGGCCGTCGTCAAAGTCCAGCCGCACAAACGCATTGATGACGTGGGCCGCGCACTCGACCAGGTCCTGCAGCGACGCGGCGTGCTCGCGGTTGCGCAGCTCCTCGAGGCCTGCGATGCCGGCGTTGAGCGAGGACCGGCGGCGCGCGCGCGGGTCGGGGTCGGCTAGGAATTCGTGCAGCTCGCCGGGGTGCACGACGGGAGAGGGGGTGACTTGCGATTGCGGCTGCTGCGGGGCGGTGGGGATCGGGAGGGGGGGGAGGGCGGGCGCGGTGGTTGTGGTTGTGGTTGTGGTGGGGGGGTGTGGGTCGGCGGCGATGGGGATGGGGATGGGGATGGGGATGGGGGGGACGGCGGGGAGGGCGAGCGAGAGGCCGAACGGGTCGAGGGGGTCGAGGGAGGGCACTACCGCCGCGGGGGTGGCTTCAGCGGGGAGCAATGGCGCGGCTTCTACTGCTTCTGGTATAGGCGGCGGCGGCGGTGGGGGTGGGGGTGGTGGGTGAGCATCGTCGGTTCCGGACATTGGATGGTCCTCCGGCTGCGTCTGTGTCTGTGTCTGTGTCTGTGTCTGTGTCTGTGTCTGCGTCTGCACAGGCGGCTCCGCTTTCTGCACTTCCGGCACCGGGCTGCCCGCTTTCTCCGGCACCCGCATCGGCGTGTCCTCGCCCTGCTTCTGCGGTTGCTGCGGTGCCGCGGGGAGCATCTCCTCAGCCACCGGGGGTGGGGGCGCATCAACGACACCACCACCACCACCACCACCCCCGTCTTTTCCCATGTCCACCTCCTTCTTCTCCACCCCCGCCGATTCCTTCACTTCCTTCACTTCCTGCCCCTCCTGCTCCTGCCCCTCCTCCGTCCGCTGCGTCGTCGTCGTCGCCGCCGTCTCCGCCGCCTCCCTCATCACCGCGTCATCGCTAACCGACGCCGGCGGGTTGTTCTCCATCGGGGCCAGATGCTGCTGCTGCTGCTGCTGTCTCACCAGCGTGTTCGTGGCTGTCTGTGTTTTTCCTCGCGAACAGTAAGTAGTTGTGGATGTGTATATGTATATGTATGTAGTTGTAGAGAATGGGTGGTTGTGGTGGTGAGAAGAAGAAGTGAGAGAGAAGTGAGAGAGAGAGAGGGAGGGGGGTTGTTGTCTCCCGCCGTTGTTGTCGTCGCTGTCGTCGCTGGGGAAAGAAAGTGACGGACGGATGAAATGGGAATGGCCGAGCGTGCGAGGTGGTGCTTGGCTTGGCGCTGGGTTAGGGTTGCGTGGGGCATGCACGCGCAGGGGAGCGTGCAGCGGCGGGAGCGAGTGGTGCGGCGGGCGATTGGTGGGTGGGATTGTGGATGTGATATAATAGGACTGGGAGGAGGTACTGGGAGGAGGTACTGGGGGGATTGAGACTCTGGGAGCGGGGAGGGGTGTGCAGTTGAGTGGGTCAATCAATCTGAAATCTACATTATAATTGTGTTTGTACTCGGTCCTCTAAGTATGATCCTCTAGGTCTCAGCTACATCAATCTAACAATCTACAGTACTGCTTCACCACACCTCACCACCCACCACCAAGAACAGCACTGGCAATGGCCGCAACCCCCGGCTCCCACCTCATCCTCCTGCACCAGGTCCCCTCAAAACCCAACACCAAAGTGCGCTTCCTCGGCTGGTACTCCCCCCCTCCCCCCTCCATATGCCCCACCCCATCCCTCCCCTCCCACCCCTACAAACCACAACTAACACCCACCCCAGCGTCACAACCCACGACCCCACCTCCCCGCTCGTCCACCTCACGCACCCGCCCTCGCGCCTCGCCATCCCCGTGGACATCAGCCTCGTGGCGCCCAGCCTGCCGCCGGGGTCGCTGCGCGACGGCGAGTGGGTCAATGTGGTCGGGTACACGCCGCCTGTGGGCGAGGAGCTGGTGGTGACGGCGCTGCTGCTGTGGGGCGCGGGGGCGCTGAGGTTGGGGGAGTATGAGCGGGTTGTGGGTGGGTTGGCGGGGGGGGGGATTAAGAGGGGAGAAGGGGGAGAAAGGGGGAGGGGTGTAGGAGAGGAGGGAGAAGAGGGGGGGGGGGGGGGGGAGAGAGGTGTAAGGGGGATGGGGTACTAATGGGTTATGGGAGGGAATTAGGGGCAGAGGGGGGGTAATTGGGGTAATTGGGGGTAAGGGTGTCAAGTAAAATCGTAATTATAATCATTGGCTTTTTAGTATTCGGGCTTCAATGTTGCGGACTAGTTAGTTAGCTAGCTCCTGGCTATTTACTAACACTGACTGCTACTAACAGCTGTTTGATACTGATACTGGGATACTGATAGTGTTTGACTATTATTACTAGCTAGCTACCACTGATAGCTCCTGGCTGTCACTGCTAGCTACTACTACATAACACTTGCTATCACTACTTTACGTACCAACACTGTCACCAATGAATGGCTATCACTACAAACTACCACCAACGCCAATGGCTATCACTACCGCTACTAACTCTCACCAACGGCCAACACTTGCTACTACCAATTGCTCCTGGCTACTAACAATAATAGTAATAATATTGATACTAATCCCCAGTACCTAGAAATGCAGACGACAACCCAGTGCTCTAGATGCAGATGCAAACCCCTTCAAAAACAACCGTCTAATGATCTACTCGGTCTAAAACACCGACCCAATGAAGGAAAGCAGTCGACAAAAGAGAAAGGAAGAAAAAAAAAGAAAGAAGATTCAAGAGAAAAAGAAAAAAGAGAACCCAACCCAAAGTCTAACCTAACTACGCATACCCTTCTATCCCAACCCCCAAACCGACTACCCAAACCAGCACGCCCCAGGAACCCACAACACAAAGGAAACAAGAAAACGAACGACCAAATAACCCTTCCCAAACGCAGGAAAGCAACATCAAAATACACCCCCAACAACAATCCTAAAGCAGGAAAACTCCAATAAACCGCACAACTACCACCCCCACCTCCCACCCCCCCGTCCCTCCTCCCACCACCGTCCCTTCCATACCTTCACCCTCTCCGCCACCTCCTCCAACCCCACCCTTCCCTCCTCCCCCCTCCCAAAACACCCCCTCACCACCCCCTCCACCACGCCCCCCCTCGCAACCCTCACAGCCCTCTCCCCACCCCTCACCCACCCCACCGGATCCCCCTCCCTCGCATAAATCCCCACATGCCTCACGCCCTCATAAACCTCACTCCCCAGCGCCGCCGCCAGCAGCGTCATACCCACACTATACACATCCGCACTCCCCCTCAACGGCGCGCCCCCCCCGCCCAAAAATCCCCTCAACACCTCCGGTGCCGCAAACCCCGTCGTCACCGCACTCACTTCCTCCCCCCCGCCGCCGCCCCCGCCGCCCAGCTGCGCGCTCGAAAAGTCGCACAGCACGGGCTCCATCAACGCCGCACCGGGGTTCTCGGCGCAGTACGCATCCCACACCTCATCACCCCCCGCGTACGGGCGCAGCAGGACATTGCCCCACTTGATGTCGCCGTGGACGACGCCGGCGGCGTGCACGGCGCGCACGGCGGCCACGAGGCGCTCCGCCAGGAAGAGCCACTGCGCGAAGCCCAGCACCGGTTCGCCGCGCTGGGTCTTGGTCTTTGTTGTGGCGGGCGCGGCGCGGGCGAGGGACTCGAGCGTGCCGGCGGCGAGGTGGTCTAGGTACAGGTGCGCCGTCTTGGGGTCGTAGTAGTGGATTCTCGCAATGCACGGCGGGGATGCGGTGAGGGTCGTTGTGAGGTGTGATAGGATTGAGGCCTCGGCGTGGAGGATGGGGAGGGCGGAGGGGTTGGAGGGCGTCTTGACGGCGAGCTGGGGGGTCAGCGCGTAGACGGTTGACCAGGCGCCGGAGCCCAGTTTGGCTGTGTAGGGGGTTGAGAGGAGGTGCTGGGGCGGGGCGGGGGTGGCGGTGAGAGGGTGTGGGGTGAGGGGGGTGAGCGGGGGGGTGGGGTGCGTGTAGAGGGAGGTCGGGGGGATGGTGATGGGGGTGGGGAGCTTGGGGGCGAGGGGAGACATTGGAGTTGGTGGGTGGTGAGTCTGGCTTGTCCTGGCCTGAGCTGTGGGTTATGAGTGATATTCGAATTGGCTGTGAGTATTCGGGTCGTGAGGAGGATGGGCGGCGCGGAGTTTAAGTACTCGGCGCAACGAACAGGGTGACGGCAGCAGTACGTGGTAAAGGCCGATGTCGACTCGATACTATTTATGTCCGTCCAAACACAGGTAAGGTGCGTGTGGCGAGACAAGGATAGAATAGATTATAGAATGCCGATTGGAGAGGTAGGCGGGTGGGGTGGCGGACAGATATATATATATATGTCTGGATAATCTCCACGCGGAAGCAGTATCGTGAGTAAAAGTACTCAAACGGTTAACGAATTCGGGGAAAGAAAGAAGGAACAAGAATTGCCCGCCTGAATGCCTTTCCTTTTCTTCCAGCTAGAGTAGTAAGTACCTAGTAGTCCCAAGAGCAGCAGCAGAGCAGGCCAGGCAGGAAGGATATATATGTGAGGCAGTCCAGACAGTCCAGGCAGGCAGGCAGGCAGTCAAGTTAGGTTGTGAAGAAATTGAGTGAGTGAGTGAGTGAGTGAGTGAGTGAGTGAGTGCCATGCCCGCCCACCCAACAACCTTTTTTTTTCCCCTTCCCATCCCCACTCGTGGAGAACGCAAGAGCGAGCGCAGTGCAGTGCAGAGAGCGTGCAGAGTGTGCAGAGCGTGCAGAGTTCTGTGCGGTGCTGCTGCTCAGGAAGAACGAGGAAGCACTAAGACGTGCTAGCCAAGCGTTTCAATTCCCCCACACATCCACACATCCACACATCCACATCCATCCACATCCATCCACATCCACACCCATGCCCACGGTCTCTGTCTCTCCACAGACACGCGGCGCAGACACACAACAGCACTTGGAGAGTAATAGAAAAGAAAAGCTCGCTGTGTGACGTATGTCGATCCTCACATCCCATCCCCATCCATTCCATCCCCAAAGGTCCACAACCAACTCCCGGGGCGTCCATGGTGAAGAACCGTTTACCCCCCCCCCCCCCCCCCCCAAAATGGATCCTCATCCCCCATCATGCCCACGACTAAACAAAAACGAAAACCTGCTCTTTCCCGAATCCGAAAAGCAAAAACAAAAAAAGACAAGCAAGCAAAAATTAAACCCCCAAGCCCGAGACCAGGACCAAGACCAAGAAAAACCCACCTGCAGCGGTGGACGTCAATTATCCCGGACGAAACGGAAGCACCGGGTCTTATCTGGCTATTGCCGGTTGAAACAGGAACGTTTTTCCTTTTCATGACTCGGTAAACTACACTTTTTTTCCTTCAAACCACCGCACGCGCACCAGAGTAGTAGTAGAGGGATTTTCCGGAGATAATAGTACTATAGATAAGCGACAGGGATTTGGGGGGGGAGTGTAAAGTAAAGTGTAGAGCGACATGTAGGTGTAGGTACAGGTAAGGTATGGATGGCATATGTAGGTGGTATGTAGTTACGGACTGACGGCCGGACGAACATGACGACGAGCAAGGCGGGTATCGGTTGTGTTTGTGATAATTTTCATTTCCCTTCTTCCCCCTTCACGCACACTAGGTTTGAAAGGAAGCCGTAATCTGTAATCTATCAATCCTCTATCTCTTGCCCTCGAGATAGGTTAGGGAGGTAGATAGAGATAGCTATCTTTGCTTTCTCTCACTCTCTCACTCTCTCTCGCTCTCTCTCGGGCTGTGCAGGTAAGAGGTAGAGTTGTACGACGGGATAGAGATAGAGAGAGGTGGAGTGCGCCAGAGATAGAATATAAAAATACACATCTTCAAGCATAACTCCGATAAGTGCTGACCGCCCAGCCAACCCAATTTGAGCCTCAATGTCCGTGCGCCTAGAGTACATACATACAAATTACATCTACATACATCATGTACCTACGCCGGCTAATTCCATCTGCCTCTTCCTCTCGCTCTCTCTACTTCATCTTCTCCACAACCACCACATACAAACATAAATCCCCGTCTATCGTACTTCCATCCCTCCGCTCTCCGCACAACGGTCCAAACAACACGACAGAACATGTCCTCTCCCCACAGGGCCTCAACATCCAAAAGCCGAGAAGTTAGGCACGACTGTAGATCTCCTCGTGGGTGTGTTTCTGCACTTTGATTCGCCAATGGGGACCACCACCCTCGCCTCTCATCTCTCACCTCCACACACCCACACATGACACCTGTGGAGTAATAACCGGGGCCCGAACGTCAATAACATTGCATAACCTCGACACAGCCACGCGCGGCGAGGCGGTAGGGATGAGTTTGACGTTCGCCTTCCTCCCTCCCCGAGGATATATTGGAAGATCAGCAGTGAAAGGGTCCACCACTTGGCAGTAGAGCCAGGTTGCCTGAATTGACTTCTCATCCACTCACTTGCACACTTTGTCTAAGCATCTTCTCTGCTTGCCTGAGAACTGCTCCGCTATGGTGCGTAAGTATCTACTCACTCCCATCCATGATATTCCATAGAAAACCACTGCTACAAGCCACCCCCGGCAACACCATCCGCCCATCACCACAAGTGCAAGAAAATCCACGCCCGATGGTTCAAACCCCAATTGCCAAAAACCTGAAAAGAAAAAAAAAATGAAAAAAATGAGAGAAAAAAAAAGCAGTAAGAGGTTGTTTCAAAAGCAAGAGGAAGAAGAAATTAGAAAGACACGGTTCGCGATCGGCAGCACGTGGTCGCCGCAGATCGGATTATGTGTAATTAAGTAGAGTACCGTATTCCCCCGCTTTTTTGAATTGGCGTTGGGGGAAGAGAGGAGTTGGCAAGTTGGAGTGGGTATCGTGATTGCGATTCTGCCTGTCGCGGGTGGTGTGGGGGGCGAGTGAGGGGTTGTGATCGATGGTTGCAATTTAATAGTCTGTGCGCTGCGCGCGGTAGTCCCGTGCTCTGGCATGCATGGTATTCTCCAAATGTGAGGCCCATTCTATGATAGGCGCTCTACTCTACTTTAGAGTATGGTTGCAGATACATAGAGATCGATGTCGTGACTCAAGGTTTTTTCTAATTGATCAGAAACCTGGATCGCACCTAGGCTAGATTAGATACAGAGCACATATAATTGACTCCGGCTCCAAGCATATAGAAGAGCCATTGGATAAATTGATGCAACTGATCTGTATGATCTGATGTTACATGGGCATATGGATGTTCATCGTGACTGCCTAAATGCACCCCAAGTCCAATCCAGGGGAACGATGCTATGAATGACTGCCAGAGAGATGAAGATGCCAGATTTCAGATGTATAGATCACCCCTGCCGTTTCAAATGTTGGAGAAGGAGCTCTTGGACGCCTAGTAACTAGCACAAGGTTTAAATTTAACTTCTCAACAATATAGTGTTTACTCGCACTCGTCTTGCGAATCAAGGGGCAGTGAGGCGGACCCAAGATATAGGGTTATTATTCAGGGGCCTATTCTATGTAGCCCTCAATCGATAAACTTTGTCAGTACACAAGACTACTCATTAAGGTTCGAGGCTTAAATCACTGCTGTGGTACTTGCGTGACCAATGCTAGCCAGACGTAGTCGTATGAAGCCCGCCATAATAAGGCTGCGGGCGTAAATTTAAAAAGGGGAGCAAGTCAAGCATGAAAAACAATGTTACTATCGCTCGTTGCTTTGATTGGTAGGCCTTCGAACCATGTTTTGTGGTTTGAGAGAGTGATCTTCGCCCTGAACTTTACAATACATCGCGTTTAGGAATAAAGGAGAGATAGATCTTCGTCTGTGGCTACACGGTGTCATCAGCGAGAGGGACGGGGAGTGACATACTACACGGATGACAACATGTATGTACCTGCAAATGGTACAAGGAAAGTACGTAGGTATTGGGTAGAGACAGATAGCACAGAACTCAAGACAAAAGCAAAAAAGAACAGGTTATCAACAGCTGGGGAGCAAATAAATAACCATATATAAGAGCCTACCAACCTATCAGTTTTCCAAGCTCCTAAACCTGAGTCCTTCTACTACATTCTCCCCGGCCTAAACCTCGAATAGTATTCATAAGCCCTTATATGCCGGTATACAATACGCTGTAGGTTTTGTCGTTGTAGGTTTTGTCGTTGTAGGTTTTGTCGATGTCGTTTAAATGAATTGGCCCAACCTAAAGACGCAACTATCGATTAAATTGAGCTATTAAAATGAGACGGTTATGGCTGAACATTATTGTTTCAATGGTTATAAGCCCGAGCCTGAAGGTTTAGGGTAGTTAGTAAGTTTAAGGGAAAGGTATTTAGTACGACGGTGAGTTAGTGAGTTGATAAACTGGGGAAAGATACTCTAATAGATTTCACGGTAGCTAAGGGGTTTAGGATTTTCTTGTGAAATGGGACCAGAACCATGGATGGCCTTGCCCCATATCAATCCATAAACTGTCCGATACCGGCCACCGCTCTTGAGTAAAAATCTCTATAGTTCTGTGGTTAATATGTCCCTATGATTTCGTCTACTCCTGTCCTGCTCGAATGTGTCGTTCGCCGCTCGGCTGCAGCTGAATCACACAATCTCACTCGTATATGCAAGCGCAACATCCAGCCCAGCCTTAGGTATTTACCTATCCAGCTGTAAAGAAATACCACCAACTATAGGAGGTCTCTTTCTTTCCACATTTTATTTTTGGGTTTTTTCCTCCGTTTATGGGCTTGACGTAGCTGTTATGTTTTTCTGTTATCCCTTGGCCAGGTGCGAGCGGGAGAGGGAAGGTTTAGCCAGCAGTTCCATTCTTTGGACTGAGCACGGTAGTAGTGTTTACACATATTCCGAGAGGTTGCGTGCAGTTACCTCAGAGGCCTTTAGACAATTGGGTTTCCTTTCATTTTTCTTTTAAAACACAGTGTCTCCCCAGGGCAAACCCCCTGAAGGATTTGACTTTGGGGGAAAGTCAATTGTTTCTGCACAACAAGCGGAGAGCATGCTTGCTTTTTCGACAGATTTCAAACTCTAGAACGCGCTGTAACCACAGCCCTTGATGTTCGGGGGGTAAATATGTAGTGTGGCCTCGTTATCTTGCATATATAGCGCTCGAAGGCTGAATGATCATTTCCCTAGTGAGAGAGAGAGTAAAAGTAAAGCAATAGCTACATACTTTGCCTTGTCTTGCTCGGGGCGCCAAGTCGGTTACATACTGTCTTTAAGTGGTTCATATCCTTTGACCATGAGATACTCAGAAACGAACTACGATAACCGGAGGGGAGGGAGGAGCTCAACTAAAATTTGATGGGAGCAAGGCAAAGAAGGGAAGCGATCATTCCCCAAGCTCCTCAGACACTAGACTCCAGAAATTAGTACTGACATCTAATAATCGTGTCTCCATCCTGCTGGAAGAGATGAAAAGAGACAGTGCGGGAACAGGAGCGCCCAGGCAACCCCACCATAAGTTGGGGGAAAGAACTATCCCCGCGTAGCTGAGAAAGAGAACACGAAATGGGATGCCTGGAGGACGCTCATTGTACCACCTGTTTATGCTTCATTGGAGATGAAGGGAGATAAAGGCAGAGGTAAAAGAAAAGACGGCTTGTCGTGTACCAAAACCACCTTAGCACTAAGGGGGCTCTAAGACCACAAAACTTACATAAGTGACTAGTAATAGGTGCGCATGCCTCCAACATTAATGGCGCCTCGCCCGCCTAATGTATTCTCTAACTACCCCTCTCCCGGGGTTACCGTATGTTTTCGTGCTCGAGTCACAGGCTATCACTCGGCCGGTGACTCTTTACAGCACAGTCAGCCTCCTGTCTTGGCAGCAGTGCCCTCCAATAATTTGTCGAAACACCCTTTCCCCTTCCCAAACCTCTTTTACACAAACGGCTGCCGGATGAGCCGAGAGAAAGCTTTTGAAATTATGTAGTTGTTGCCCCTCCTCTTGACCACGCTCTTTCCTAATTAGCCTTGTTCCTCTTTCCCCTCTCCCGTGCAAAGTAATATAAAAGGAGCAAGAAGGACTCAGCGTAGGGTCTATATATCAACATATTCGTGGGTGGTAACTACAACTTTTCAGATCCGACCTTTGGTCTGCACAAATCTTCCGGTGTAGTAATAAACAGAGGTCTAGCAAGGCGTAGCATACAGCTAGCACCACTAAACCAACTGGGAAGGGGGATGAGCTATAACCCTATCTCTCGGTTTCTGACCGTGTGGCGCGCCCCCAGCTCTAAAAGATGCTACAAAAAGTATTGAGAAGGCCAAGTTGTCATATATTATTATTTATTTCTTTACACCACCGCAATGACTATCAGTCGAGTGATATTCCATGCACAGCTTCGATCATCACGGATAGTGCATGCAGTCAAGTGCATGCAGTCAGCACCCAGAGCCCATCATTCCATACACATCTTGTAGACCTTTCCCACGCAAATGTAGTTCATGATCCCATTCCCCCAATAAGTAATATTTGCTTTTGCGGAACGACCAGTATCCGTGCCCGTACCGCACTATATAGGATGCCATACACCACAAAGCTCCCCAATGGCCAAAGCTGTGTGTAGTTAAGCTGTAGTTATAATAGACCAGCACACCCAAGCAGCCCAAGGTGAAGCTCTACAATATTACGAATGATGATGCAACTAACCCAGTGTTAATTGTAAGCTGCATATAACTACCCCCATCTGTATAATATCTAATCAAGTAATCAAACGATCACGAACCCTCAACCCGCAGGGATTATACGGATACGGTGCCTACTACCGCCATAACTCGAAAAATTGGCTAGATCAAAATTACTTGTACGGGAAACTTCTGGTGCAGATCGATGCCATTCAACCAATCACTCAAGTGGTAATCCCTGGACGGAGATAGCCAATTTTTCGAGTTTTGGCGGTAAATCCCTGAAGCTGTTGTAGAGCTCCGAACGTTCCGGTCATCTTTCTTCTGTGCGACGGTAGCTCCAGGAGCCAATGATTACCCACAGCTGCACTTCCGAATCGGGTAGTAGCAGTGAACATCAACCAGACCACATCCATACAGTAGTAGAGAGCATCTGAGTATATAAACCCCACAATGCCTCTCCAACCAACCCGCACACAGAGATCCCACATCTCCAGCTCCAGAAAGTAATAAGAAATGACACACCCAAAGCGCCGCGACATCGAATTCCCGACTCTCGACGGCACCACCCTCCGCGGCTGGTTCTACCCCACAGGCCAAAATGCACCCTCAATTATCCTAGTCCACGGAGTTAGTATCCTCCCTCCCTTGACGTAACACACTTTCGGCTAACACTCGTAAGCTTGCCTGCCTGAAAGAATGGTACTTCGACACCCTCGCCGAATACTTCCAATCCCACGGCGTCTCAGTCCTCCTCTACGACCACCGCAACTTCGGCACCTCTTCAGGCACCCCGCGGCACGAGATCGACCCAAACCTGCAGCAATCCGACGTGCATGATGCCGTCACCTACCTCCTCAGTCTTCCCGAGCAAGTGGACCCCACCAAGCTCGCCGCCCTCGGATACAGCTACGGCTCTGCGCACTGCGTCCGCACCGCCACCCTCGACCGCCGGGTCAAAGCCGTTGTCTCGCTCGCCTCACTCACAAACGGCGAGTGGCTGCTCAACTGGGCGCACCCCGACCGCGACGCCTGGGACCGCCGCATCTTTGCGGACCGGATAGCGCGGGTTGGCGGCAGCGAGCCCGAATATATCCGTGTTTCGCCGGAGGTGGGGGAGGATATGCAGGAGGCGGAGAAGACTTCGTTCATGGCGGCGCCGGATGGAGCAGAGTTCTACTCGCGGATGAAGGCGGAGGTGACGCCGCAGTGGGAGAACAAGCTGACCTTGCAGAGTGTTTTCTGGGTACGGGGGTACCAGATGGAGTCGTCTTTACCGACGCTGGCGCCGACGCCGTGGTTGATGCTTGTGGATGAGCGTTCGGTTGAGATGTATCGGCCGGTGTGGGATAAATCGACGGGACCGAAAGAGTGGGGGGTTATCCCCGGGGCGCACTTTGATGTGGTGCAAGGCGAGGGGCTGGTGAAGGCCTTTGAGCTGTCGTTGGACTTTTTGAAGAGGCATTTGGGATTTTAGGTATATGTGCGTGAGAAACTAGAGCGAGCTCAGTTCTTGATAACAGATTACTCCACTCATATCTTTAAAAGAAGTTAGCCTACCGCCGAGATAGCTTCTCATTTGGCATAAGACATTGTAAATAAGTGCTGGTTTTAACTGAGCGGGGTGCTTGTGCACCAGATTTTCAGAATCAGGATCATCCGAATCGAGGTTCCGTCCTCTTTGAGCTCCATTGTTTCAATTTCGCGTTCACACTCCAAAGGGTATGTTAAAGTCGATCTGGCAACAAACTAATTCTAACCCCGACATACCCTTCGAAGTGTCAATCCGCTAGACACTCTCGGAGCTTTAGATATCCGTACAAGCCTTAGACGAGAGTTATAAAATAGGCTTACACATTCGAGTGAGAAATTATGATCGAGCCTGTTTGCAAATCAGTGATACGAAAGTCTTTTGATACGCATGCTACGTATATAGCAGAGATGGTCCTAATCTCGGGTATTATAGACCACCGCCCATCACATTCTTTTTTTCTCGTTCGGCTGTGGCCTTATAAATTCCTATGCCATCAGCCCAATAGACGGCTCCTCTTCACCCCAGAGGGGAGGGGAGGCTCGGTCTCTTCGATCGCCCGCCGTTTAGCTAGACAACTAAAAATCCGCAGTAATTCTGTCTCGTCGAGACCCTATATGCCGCCCCTCTCGAGCCTACCAAGTCCTTGTGTACCCTTCAACTCTCGAAGCTAGTGCTGCCAGTCAGATGACAAATCATGATTGCGAATTATTGCCCCTACCGGGCCAATGCGAGTGACGCCTTGTGAATCTGCGTCCGCTGTTTTTCTTGTGTCCTAGATAGATGGTGAATTCTCTCCCTTCTCCGTTGGGAGTGTCCAGTCGATGCAAGGCTGAGGTGTGGTTAGTGGGGTGTTAGGAGCGGCCCTGTTGCTGGAGGTACCGATGGGACTGCGACAAGTATTTACATGTAGTGGACGTTGTTTGCCGTTCTGTGTGGTAAGAATATCACGTCGCTTAGTAGGGCCCCATCAGTGAATGAGATAACCTTGCTAGTGGAGCTACCGTGTGTGTGGTGGATGAGAATAGAAAAAAGCAGCGCGGTGATGCGGATGGAGAGTGAGGAAGCGAGAGAAGAAAGGAGAAGAAACGAAAGAAGGAAGACGAAGAAGATGAAGATGAAGGACGGCAGGGCTTTGGAGACCGCAAGACCAGGCTGTGTCATCGGTGCTTGGCTTCTCTTGGCTTCCACTACATGTACGTACAATGTGTAGCTTACCCAAACCTGCGCGAGCTCGCAAGTATGGTTTAATTCCGCTAATAGATACACGTAGCGGGGTAAGCTGTACTCTACTCAAACCCTTAATTCGAGGATCGAGTAGCTATGCTACATGTAGTCACCGGCGAGCTCCCGCAAGCGGATTCTCCTGTTCAACGGAGGTCCAGCTTTGTGAAAACACAATTTCGTCGCCACAGAAGACCGAAAGTCATTATACGCCCATTCATAAACCATCACTCGCTGCTCCGCCCTGCAGTCTAATTCGACCCACCAGCGAATAGAGCATACGGTACTTGCTTAAACTTCTAACTATGATACGAGCTATAACTTTCTCAGCCAAGTCTCAATGATGAAAGCCTGTAAAAGGCTCGATAGTTGATCATGGTTTCCACAATACAGCCTCTCCGAGCTCATAGCCTTATCCCTGTTGCCAATGATCGTCTTAGCATATGTACAGTCTATCGATCTCCCGTCTTGGCAGGGAAATGATTGCTGGTTAGCTACTAGGAAATTAAGGCCCAATAAGATGATTGGCTTAGCCAAGGAAAGTCAACTCTGAAATACTCGGCAAAACGAATTAAATACTGAACGTCGACTGCACTCATCCGTTTATCCTTAGGCTCCCTAGATGTTAAGAGTCTATATATACACTTGGTATCCAATTCTTCAGGGGTACAGTGCGGTGGCATGATGGATCCATAACCATGGCGTGCAGTATTGCGATATAGTATGTCATCCTTGATTGTGTTTTGTCTTGTAGTGGCTATACTGCTATGGAGCAGTAAATCGGCCAATTACGATCTATATATGTTCTGGAAGCTTATTATGGACCGATGTCTTCCTGACTAGATGGGCTGCATGGATTGCGATGTATACTCCACTTGAGCTTCCTGAATATAACTATAGTGTAATTATAAAAAAACCCAATAGACAGAATCATGGGATAGAACACAATTAAATTTAGCTGAATTTCAGTGCTTTATGCCGAAATAATTTTACTGCCGGTAATAAAATTCCTTTGAATTTACTGTTTCTTGTTGGATAACTTTGTTTTTATAATACACTCCCAACCGTAATTATTCGACCATTACTAGATTTTCCTATCTCTAGGTATATTAAGAAGTTGATAAGGGTAGTGAAAGTTGATAACGATTATGGCTGTGGTATCAGTATCGTTACCGCCAAGACCTCGAATTTCTCCATACTCTCACCCGTTACACAGCTTCCCACAACGCGATATCCCAACTCTCCTCCAAATCCCAAGTCTCCAAATCCCAACCCACCAAAGCTCACAACCTCACAACCTTATACTCACAACCCACAACCCACAATGTCACTAATCTCCGCCTCCCACGACTCTCTCCCCTGTAAGCCACCCCTCAATCCCCTTCCCCTTCCCCTTCCCCATCCCCACCCCCAATCCCACATCCACTAACACACACACCCAGACATCGAACCCACCCCCACCGCCCCCGAACTCTCCCAAATCACCGCTCTCATAACGCGCGAGCTCCCCAGCACCCGCCTCACCACCCCACACCCCCTCCTCCCGCCTCTCGACGACGCCACCTTTAGCCCAGCCATCACGCAAGAGCTCGCCCGCGTCGCCGCCGGCGAGCCACTGACGGGCGGTATCGACCTCACCCGGTACGAGCCCACCGCGCCCGCCGAGGGGGCCCCCGCGGCCGACTACGAGAGCGCGCTCGCGTCCGCGTACGCGTCCGGCGAGCACCTCAAGACGCGGCTCACGAACCTGACGCTGCTGAACGAGTTTGGCAAGAACGCGTGGCTTGTGCACAATTCGCAGCTCGAGCAGATCCTGACGGGGCTCGAGGAGGAGCTGATGGTGCTGAAGACGGAGTGCGAGGTTGTAAACAAGGAGCGCAAGGGGCTGCAGAAGGATGTTGAGGTTGAGCTGAAGACGCTCGAGGAGCGGTGGCGGAGGGGGATTGGGAGGGTGCTGGAGGTGGAGGTGGCGGCGGAGAAGGTGAGGATGGAGATATTGGAGAGGAGGAGGCAGGGGACGGCGGTGTAGGGCGGGTGGGTGGATTGAGGGTGTAAGTTGTTTTTTTTCTTTTCTTTTTTTACGTTTTTTTTTTTTTTTTTAGAGCTCCGGGCTGGAATACCTTTTTTTTTTCTTCTTCTTTTCTCTTTGTATTACTACAGTGCATAGTTGGTTTTCTGCAATTTATGTACTACGATCATTTCCGTGAGGCTTTAGACATTCGGTCTCAACTTCCAGACAAAACAGAAAACATGACTGAAAACGAGAGAGACAAAAAATAGAATCAAGTGGGCAGACGGCTCAATTTTGCACGGCAAGCATCATCAAAATAAGAATAAACTCCCTTGAAAGCGAGCGCCAGCCCCTCCCCCCCAAACTACTTGCTTGTAGAGCGGGACATGATAAACTCGCCCAATGCCTCATCCACACTATCCCATTCATTCCACCTCTATCTTAAAGACTGACCAGGAAAGAAAAGGAAATAAAGATACTAGAAGAAAAGAAGCCCCCGCCACTTTGTTCCCCTCCCTCCAATAGAAACTTTTGTGCCTCGTGCAACTCACCTGTCCATTGATACGTGCGCGGGTACCCATTTCAAGGTCAGGGGAGAAAAGTAAGGTGGGAAATGAGCAAAAAGGCAGTTACACCGAAACAAGAACAGAAAACAGGAACACCAAACAACCTCTAGCTACTCATGCAGTAGCTAATGACCAACACCCGCGCATTGAAGCAACCCGCCCTGTAAACACCGTAACGACCCGAGCAGTAGTAAGGAAATTTGGCATCCATCCTCCACTACACCTCTACTGCTCTACCTCTACCAGCCGCCTCCCCAAAAACATCCAATCCACCATCGAAGCCTCCCGGAGATCCGGGGCTGCCAGCTTCAGCTAGCGGATCCACGCCTTCGGCCAGCCTGGGGTCGTTCCTCCGCATGATTTCCGTCACAGGCCCCAACAATCGCTGGAAACCATCCTTACCCAACGTTGCCAACTTCATCTTTGTGATCGCCCTCACGCTGGCTGCACGTGGCGCATCGTTCAACAACGCCAACTCGCCGAAATAGTCGCCTTTCCCAAGCTTGTTAACAGCCTCTTGAAGACCATTTTTGACCACTTCTGCCTCTCCCGATTCGATGAGGTAGAAGTTATCACCAGGATCACCCTGTCTGATGATGGTCTCCCCGGCTTGGAAGGTCACACTCTCCAGTGCATCCGCAATCTTTGACCGTTCATAGGGGAGGAGAGAAGATAGAAGAGCAACCTCTTCAAGGAATGCTTCATACATTCTCCGTTTCTTGAACGTATTCTCCATCAAGATACGACGGAAGGTGACACGGTCGAGAGCCCACAGGACAGCTTGACTGGTTGTTGATATAATAGTAGCAGCACGAGGGGCATTGTACATCAGGGCCAGCTCACCAAACGAGCCTCCAGGGCCGATCTCGTTGACTTTCTGGCCCATTCCATCTGTGCCTGGTAGCATGCTGCCGGCAGGGTTTACATGGATATCAAACGAGCCGCGCTCAACCACATAAAAGTAGTCACCGACATCGCCTTGGGTAATGACTCTAGTACCCTTTCCAGGGATCGGTTTCTCCATGAGAGCTGAAAGCACTTGGGAGCTTTGGTCGTCGTCGAGATGCATGAACAAGAAGTTCCCTGAGACAGCCACTTTGAGACGCTCAAGTTGCTCAGCGGTTTTCGGGTATACTGGGGGCGTCCATTCTTCCGTTGAAGAAGATGGGATGAGAGATTCGGCAGAGACAGAAGTCCGTCGACCCATGTTGTAATTTGATGGAAAATCACCACCCGTGGAAGAGTTCATGAAGCTTGAATTGGGGTGCAGGTGGTTGTTGGCTGGGGGACCATGTGGGGGTTGGTCGTTACCAAAACCAAACCTCGCGCGTGGCGAAAATAGCGACTGTCCCTGACCCGGGGATGACGACAGCATTCCAAGGTTCGATGGGTCGGGATTTACTAAGGGATTTGGCCGGAAGCTTGGCGTGGTCGGGCTTTGGCCTACATCTTCATCCTCCTCCGTAATGGTGGTTGAAAAAGGGTTGTGAGAGAACGGGCTCTCACGACCGCCATCTACAGCAAGGCCTAGTCCAGGTCCTGGGAAAAGGCTTTCTCCTCCAGTGTATGCTGTTGTGGTTGACATCCCACCAAATGGATTTGAAGAGGAAAAGCCCTGACGAGAAGAAATCAGAAACTCGGCCCGCTGAGCTTCAAGGCGGCGATTGAAAAAGTTAGCGCAGAACTGGAGAACATCTGTAGGGTTTTCTCTGCTAATTTCGCGGTTGAGGGCGTCGAGTGCGTCGGTGTATGCGGCTGGGAGGGACATGCCTCCTACTTTTCTTGAAGGAGACGGTGGGAGTGTAGGGTGTTAACGAACTATATTGGATTCCTCCGGAGGGTGAAGTTGAGGAAGTGCTTGTTGGGTCGCAGCGAGTAAACTACAGATTGAAGGGAAATTAGACGTTGTTCTTCTAAATAATTATTTCAGCTAGAGCAAAGAGTCATCATACACACAGGTAGTTATATGGGAGAGAATCTGCTAGAGAGTGTCTCACATGGTCAGTCAAACTTGACACAAACAACAAGCCTGCCGGAAGACAATCAAGCGAACGGCAACTCACCAGATTCACAGCTAAAAGATTGACAAGTCAAAGTGATAGAAACGATAAATAAAAATTCTATTTGCCTTCGATGGTCGATCACTAAAATGAGGCTGCTGGATGGCTGACTGGCTCTTCTTGACTGTGGTGCTGTTGCCTCGCAATGGCTGACCCTGGTCTGTCCGCTCCCTTTGTTCTCAACTCAACTAAATGACGGTGCCTGCAGGAAGCCGCCTGAAACCAGAGAAATGCCAACAGGAACTTTTTCTATTGTTTCTAGAGCTGATGATAAACACGGACTCGCTTTGGGGCTTGGAAAACAGCCGGGTTCTTTTTAACAGTCATCAGCTTACTTCCTCCAGTCATGATCATGATTCGTTCATAGCAAGAAGAAGCAATGTTACGCAACTCTTCTAGCAGGTGGTAATAATGGGATGATAGGTAGTGGGATGAGGAGGAGCAGCGGTAGCAGTAGCAGCAGAACATCTAAGAGAAACCTACAGAAAGCGATTATGGATGCTAATTTACAATAAAGCAATCCAAGCCAGCTCCGTGTAGAACGAGTAAACCGAAAGACGTGTTTCCGAGCAACCTGCCTGAACTGCCGACCGCACGCGATAAAAGAGCAAACAAACGCACGTTTTGTTAATCTCTTTCCTTCTAATTTTCTGCTTGCTCTATCTCAGAGGAAAGTGACGATGGTGATGATACAGAATGATTTGGGGGGGGGGGGGTATGGGAAGAGCAACGAATAAATCGATGAGGAAAGGCAGCTGGGAGGGGGGGGGGGCGTGTGTGTGGGAGGGAGATGGGACGATAGACGTTGAGACGGATAGGTGAATTGTGTGAATGTATGAATGAATGTATGAATGTAAGGGAGGGGGAAGAAGGAACAGGCGTGGGGAAAAAGAACCAGGGCAGCACTAGCAGTAGTAGCAGTAGTAGCAGGCGTGGATAACTGAGTGGATTACTTTGGGAGACCTGAGCGGAGAGATGAATGGCGGGGGAGGGACGAGACCGACCAGAAGCACGATCCTACCCTACTCTGTATGGTAGCTGCGGGTGGTGGGGATTGGGAAATGACGAGGGAGGGCTCGAGCGGGCGTCAAGGGCGATTGGCGAGGGCACGGGCTAAGACAAGGAGTGCTGCAATGAACGCAAAGCAGCAGCAGCAGCAGCACCACAGCGAGCCAGGGCAAGACGGACGGAGACGAGAACGTCGAAGCCGAAGGCGAGGAAGAAATCAAATCTTCCATCGCATCTAGAAATGAAAATGGAACATCGGAAAACGGAATAACTTGCTCTGAAACGTTCCACAAACATTTTACATCTGCTTCTTCCCTGTCTTAAATTCTCCAACCAACAGGTACATATCCATCATACCCACATGTACTCTACTCTAGAGTACGCATCAGGTAGAGTACAACCGATAACTTTAAACTGTATCTAAGGTTGACCCCTCCCGATATCGATACGAAGAAAGACCCGCTGCTGGTTTGTGAAAGGTGGTGGTTGGTGGTACATACTGGAGGTGGCCTAGGCAGGGCACGTTCCATCCATCCACCACAGCCGTTCCTGGAAGCGCCGCCCCATCCATGGGGCCTTGCCTGTCTTGTCTGCACAAGCATCGGATGGCTGACTGACTGACGGTGTGAACAGACCAACCGAGCACGCACCGAAAGCAATCCGGTTTTCGGCATTTTTACTAGAGATGTGGGGTGGGGTTCCTGCGGAAACAAACACTGAGACAACGCAGCAATGAGGGTAATCTGCATAACCAAACCTGCAGGTTTTCGTGCAGAGAACAGCAGCGAACAATTCCAGAAGTCCTTCGCCAAAATCGCTCAAAGGGGGAGGAGCAGCGCAAGATATGATGGCTTCATCGCGCATGGTACACACCTCGGAAAAAGTTGTTGCTTGCGAATTTGCACTTTGTGGGTGTAACAAACGATACTTTCTTAGTGTTTTTTTTTTCTATTTACGACATACATGACATGAAACGCTCTCGACCATTGGAAAACCACGAGAAAAGTAAAAAAGCAATCTGTCAGACACCCCATCGGTGCCCACTCTCGATCTAGGTCGGTGTCCCCCGAAACGATGGGACACACTACTGGTAATCGGGTCGAGGTCATCACCATCACCGAGAAGCAAAAGTCACCCCTTGATGATCAGAGGATAATCTGTAACTAGCTCTTATGAGGGTTTCAGATGAGATGACTTACTGTGCTAGACCGACAATTGATATGCTCATGCGTCCCAACTACTCTCAGACGTTCTTTCGAAACAAACTACGAAGATGGCCATGGCTTAAATACAAAACCCCGAGAGGTGCCAACGACTGATTATTAAGGTACGATTAAAGGGCGAGTGCCGATCCACTCTACGATTCGCCTCGACCCCAAAGACTAGAGAAAAAAAGGGTTCCGGGGTAATGGAACATCAAAAGGACCAACAGTTGAGCTTTCTTCAGTGTACCTAGCTAGGTACTCTATTCACACTGCCACGTTCGAATCATTTATCCACAAGCCCTAGAATCCTTTGTCTTACCTGACAGCCCTAATCACCACTACATTGAGGCAAACATATGTCAGATTACGTGAGATCGCACACATTATCACTCGATCAACACAATGAAACATCAACGCGTCAGGGCCAAGATGCTTCAGGGAATCTATGCAGTCATCTACAAAATACGACTACTGAGCTCCTTAATTTGGACTCTAAATGAATTGGAATATCAGCAAGGTCTCCGCTTTCTGTCTATTATCCCAACCTAGACTCATACTCTATCACTCGGGCTTCTATTTCCTATCAGCCGGCGGGTTAGCCCATACGTCATGACTTCTAATCAATCAGTGGCGGTCATTAATGAACCAAAGACACCATGACACGTGCCCCAGTTAAGACGATGGGTTATTATCGCGTCAAAAAACGATCACACTACCACTAAGATGAGAATGTGAATCTCGATTCTTAAGATCTAAGACTAGAGACCGGCATTATGAAAACATGTGAAGCGGATTCGCTTAAGAGCATCTGGCACGGGTTTATGCGGATGGAACGCGTAGAGCCCAATTACATATCAGTGTCTGACCAAGAGAACGCCTTCGGTAAAATGATACTGTAGTGTATGATGAAAATACGTCGAATCAAGGCTGTCTGCGGGACGAATCAGACGAAGCCATCAAATTTAACCATTCACCACTCTGTACTCTCCGCCACTGCCGCCAGAAGCGCGTGGTAGTCTTGTCTCAAATGCACACACCTAAGTTCCTTGATTATTGATCATAAACAGGCGTTAGCTTCATGTGGATGATTTCGGCTATATTGACCAATACAGAGGTTTGGATGTAAGGAGAGGCTTAATTATCTCTGGCTATTGATGTGGATTCACTTAGGAGAGAAAAATATAGAGTGCACATAGAATATAGGTACATGTACTCTACTCTATGTATGATGCAAACCCTTCGGGACGAGTGGCCTGACAACGCTCAATTGAACGCACAAAAGATACCTACTTAACCCGAAATTAGCAGATGTTGAAACCACAAAAATAAAGGCCTCGTGTAGCTTACCGACAATCGAAGTAGGTCAAACACATAGTCACATACCTATATCCGCGAGGACATACACTACGTACGTACAGCAATGCAGTGGTACTAGGTGATATTTCAACACTTAAACCCGATGGCACAGAGAAGACTACGTACAACGACGTTACCCAGAGACAGGTACCATTTGGGCTGAAGTATTGTTTGACAAAACGCAAAATCGTAATGTCATTCAAGTGTAGAAAGCAAAGACATTGGACGATGCTTCTTTTAGAAACAAACATCTGTCGATTTGAGCGCCGGCTGCAGAACATTTTCAACACCTGGCTCTACATCGACGAATCATGTAATGTCGATTCATCTGTTCAACGCGTGAAGGCAGAGGATTTGTGCGTCCCTAAACGGTCCCTCATATTATTGGGCAAATTAGTCTCACATCTGATTGGGGCGATTTCCAAATACGATCTATTTTGTGTCTTTGATCTACAGGTACAGATTTTCGCCGGTTGGTCTTATAAAGCCATGAACACGCACATTTCTAAGCACTCAATGTGCCCTATTCCATATCGACCCTCCCGGAGCTCGCACAGTTGCCATGCACGTGCTTCATGGACTGGTTCAAGGGATGGAACGATAACCCCGCGGAACACAATCCCCAATCTGGGTATACACTTGTCATTAATTCAATCTACTCCGGGTATTAATCTTCTATGGGCTTCTACTAAGTTGATACATACGTTCGCTCATGACTGGTCACTCGATTGGAACGTCGACGCTCGGTGCAAGAACGCACGATTAACCAGATACTGCGAGCTCGAGTTTAAGAACTATCGCCAAGCGTTCCCTCGTACCGATCTTCATACTGTGTTCCGTCACCCGACTAATTTCGGACGTTACTAGCCACGGTTTATGGTACATCTATTTCATAACCTATGGCAATGAAACCACTAACCACTAACCCGTACCCAAAATAGAGTTATAGTGCTGCAGAGAACCTTATGCTGACTCTTCTCAAAAGACTAAGTTTGCTGGATGTGTGAAGAGTTATTTTGATTTAACATAAATACCATATAAATCTTGAATTAATCTGATTTAGCTAACAACCTACATTCCTGAAAAACATCTGTACTCGGGGAGAGCCGATAGATTCTATGCCAATGCCTCATCAAAGCTATGAGTAGCATCGCTTGTATTTCCCTGGTTGAGATACTCTCAAGAACTTTGCTTCAAAATCGATCACTCGGTTGCCAAGACACCATTTTCTAAGGCTCTTCAAAACCTGTGGCTTATTTCGAAACATTTACTCCAACTCGATATGGTTCATGTAGTCTATCTTGTTAGCGTAAGTTTAAGGATCTTATAGAATCAACCAAACAATTTAAAGTAATTTTTATGGTCGCCCATGATATAAATATTGCTATTGGTCCATTGTGTACTTTAGTTGACGTCTAAATATCGTTACGGATCAAATCTACCCTAACAAAGGCCTCAAAATAGTCTCATAATAGGTACATGTATGTATAACATACTAATGAGATGCAATCCCCGGCCACAGTTGTAATTAAATATATTCTGCAAAGACTTTACTCCAGACATTAATTTGATGTATAGGAAATTGAAGAGACATACATGTACCTTATGAGTACAGTCATTTATTGAACTAAGGCGAAATTTGTTCGATGGGAGATGGACATTCATCGGCATACAAGGACCGATGGGAGTATTTTTTCCCAGTCCCTCTACTCGCGCGTTAATTAGTCCTGAGAAATTTTGTGAAGTCGTTGCTACCAAGAATTCTCAGGGCTTAATTAATACGTGAGTAGTCAACCAATAATCTTAATTCGCCCCTGTAACGAGTATGTGTAGCCCGCATGAGGCGGTAGTTAGATATGTAGTTTTTTATGAGAAGCTGGTTCTCGATCTCATCTTCTGCTAAATGTGTAAGTATATCTTAAAGAGATAAAGAAGCTCTATAATAATTTAGTAGAGGTGATCGGCATTCAAAGTCACCGACACTAGAACTACAATGGCGGAAGAGAGGGTCTTTAATGAGGTTCAATTCCTCGTAGAGGTCTTATTCAACTAAAGCATTCAGCTGGTGTGTATGCTGCGCAGAGAGAAATGCAACATCGTCATGCATATGCCTTCTGACTGTTGGAGTTGGGTATGTACTGTACGGGAAAACGGGGTATATTTACAGCCGGAGCACTAAATTATTCTGGGACAAACCGTTTCACAACTGTTCCTTGCAGAAGAAAATATTTGGTTAAATAATTATTTGAAAGAATCAGTTTTCAATAGACTATGGTAGTGGTGCGAAATTTAATGGAATTAGACTTTCACTTGGAAGGCTACTTGTCAAGAGTGCTGTCCTATAACCCCAGTGATACCCGATTTAACCTAAATTTATATTCATTTAAATACCAGCAGCACTACAGCATTACTACAGCATTGCTCAAGCATCACTAAAATATTGTGATAAATGCCTACCCTAACCCTAACTATCTTCAATTGCGAATGAGGTATTTTATAAATCTAGATCACCAGATATAAATCCATCAATTATGAGATGGTTTTTGATCCTCGGGGGATGGGTGTTAAACAATTGGGACTTACTTTTTAAAAAAAAATTTATGTCTAGATATATATTTTTGTGTAAATGATGATCGATGATGATGAAGTGTTTGGTCCTACATGCACATGTGGTGATGAACAGGTCGTGATGAAGTCTTTGGTCCTATGTGTGTACATACATATAGTCGTGATGGATGGGCCTAGTCTCGTACCCATCCCCTACTTAGCAGAAAGCTGTTCACCAGTTGACCACGCGTACCAGCATCACCGAACTACCGACAGGTTAGGACCTTAGTTTAATACAGGTTATGCTTATTTATTACTATGGAATTGCTACAGCATCAGTTCAGCATTTGGGGGAATTCCGCATCCCACAAAATACGCTTTCGCCGTCAAATGCAGCACATTCTAAAATAAAAATCCTCCGAAAGTCGGAAATCAGCCTGTTGCCAACCAAATTTTTTAGTTGATAGAACACCGAATTAGTGCTGCACCACTACGGTTGTAATATCACCCGGTTTCCCCATACTGTAGGTACATGTACAGTGACAGAAACATGGATAAAATGACTACCACAGTCTTTGGCAATGCCGTACCACTGCGGTAACACTACCGTTTACTTCGTCAAAATACGGAGATAAAGCGGCATATTCTCGCAATGCCGCGCTGATGCGGTATCAGTTTTACCCCCATTTCTGATACTGTAGGTACCTAGTCGACTACCAAGACTATGACGTATGACGTTAGCGTGGTGTCAGGACATCAACAGGGTCTTATTTAGTTGCGGCAACCAACTCTATCTGTGATAATGACAATCATTATCCAGTTGAGAAGCGACCGGAACAGGAAGAGGATACTGTGGCTTTGCTGATCTGGATCTCCTGTGGGATTTAACCAGATTTTTCGAACAGATGGTGGTAAAGCAGGTTCTCGACATGTTGTGAAGTCATGCTTTTTTAAATTCCCATATATAGGTGATATTATCTGCTTAATATCTACTAGTATACTGCTGTGTGGCTTCAGTCCTACCCACATTTTGGTACATGTAGTCTCAGTTTACCTCTCTCTAGGTCCGAATTTCTCAAAATCTGATCAACTATTACTTTTAAAATAAATATAGTTATTTTATTGAATGAATACCTACATGCCGGTCGGGATATACATGTATCGACTATTCCACGCTAATCATTTAACCTCCACGCTTCCTCTGCCACGCTTGTACTTGTTACCGCGGGTAACTCTCTGTTTTTCTATATTTGTCCTCCTCTTCAGCTCTTCCCCGTATCACCACGATCATCGATCAGAAGCGGACGCAAACCCAGTCGATTCTGAGGACTGGATGATAGCTCCAGGAATTGAGCCTGGTTGGGAGAGATGGGGCTGGAACAATAGGGCCAAGAGGGCAGAAAGTAGGACAGACGTTTGTTTGAGATGGAGCCACCAGAGCGTGTTGGTAGGAGATACAGTCTATATCTATGGAGGACAAGCAAAAACAAGCCCCGACCAGACTTTAAATACATGGAGTACGTATGAGCTCTCCCCCTTTCTTGTAGAAGAGTCGGATAGCTAATATACATAGTTAGACAATAATTTTCTGACTTTAGATTTGAGCAAAGATTGGAGCATTGCTACTCCATACTTTCAAGGCCTTCCACAACCAGATGGCCCGCCTGCAGTAGCGAATGGGTCCGTGCCCCCTTCAATATATTCATGAAACACACTAATACAAGAGACAGCTATCTCTGGCATAACAGTGAAAATATCTACCTTTATGGCGGCCTCTTCTCTGATAAACCTGATGCGGCACCAACTGCATTCTCGCTCTGGCAATATAACATCAAATTAGCAGAATGGTCGGATATCACCTCAAAGACTTCCATTGATAGTGGCTCTGGGAGTAAGAGTATACAAAGAGCTGCAGAAGGAGCAGGCATTAGCATTCCTGATAGAGGGCTTGGTTTTTATTTTGGTGGTCATTTGGACTCTTACACAACCGAAGGGTGGAGTAAACAAACACCACGCATATATTTAAAGAGCTTGCTACAATTTGATATGAACAAGAACCAGTTTCTTAACGTTACCGAAAATGGGCTAGAGGATGCTGGAGTTCCAGAAAGAGCAGATGGCGTTTTACTATTTGTAAGTCAGCACATTATCAAAACCTTTCACACAAACTAACCTTCTCAGGTTCCGTGGGGTCCTGAAGGTATCCTCGTCGGCATTGGTGGCGGCCTAAACGACACTTTTTCCCAGCTAAATATAATCGATATTTATGACGTCTCCAGCCGTAAATGGACAAAGCAAGCTACTGATGGCACGACTCCCAAATACCGTGTTAATCCTTGCGCAGTTGTCGGCTCGGCATCTGATGGCTCCTCCCATAATATCTACTTCTTTGGTGGGCAAAATCTGGTACCTTACGGTGAACAAGTCCAGTATAACGACATGTGGATTCTCTCAATCCCATCATTCTCCTGGATCAAGGTTGATACAGACGGCCAAACAGTCCCTTCTGCTCGAGCAGGCCATACTTGCGAGCTCCATGGCAGCGATATGGTCGTTATCGGTGGTTATGTGGGACAAGAACTGAGCTGTGATAGTCCCGGAATCTATGTGTTTGATGCTTATACGACACAATGGAAAACGGAATATAAATCGTCCACCAGCAGTTCGAGCAACAGTGCAGAGAAAGAGGTCGCGGAGTTTTACCGCGTGCCAGATGTGGTAATTGGTGTTATTGGGGGGGATGCAACTGGTGGGGCGACAGTTACAAAACCCGGGATGACTGCGGACCCCGACTCACCTGTTGCAACTGGGAAGCCGGGAGATTATAAGTATACTACTATCACTTCACACACAGCTGCTGCGCCGACTGTCGCAACTATCACGAATTCCGATGGCTCTGTGTCTACGACCACCACGTATGCCAATAGTACAATCTTGGGCGATCCCAACGATCCTGGGAAATCACCTAATGTTGGTCTTATAATTGGTGCTAGTTTGGCCGGAATCGTTTTACTAGTACTGTTGCTGTTAGGGGCAGCTTATATGTGGTATCGCAAAAAGATCAAGGAGCTGAGGGAAGCGAGTGAGAAGCTAGCCTCAAGCACGGAATATAGCGGAAGAATGAGTAGAGAAGGGCTAGGAGGAGGGTTAGAAAGAAGTGAGAGCGCAAATGAGCTATTGGGCGAGGAGCCAACGTTTTGGGGAGTGTTGCTGAGCCCCAGGAGAAGTTTAAGGGTTGTTAATCATTGATTATATTTGTGTTCTCTGTTATTTGCCGTTAAACAATATGCTGACGGCTCCACGGCGCTTGTTTTATGAGTCTGATGATTGTACAACGGTTTGGGGAGTTTTCTGGACCTATTGTTGGTTACGGGGTCTAGAAACGCATAGCCCAGAATCGCAACCACCTTCTTTGCTTCATTTAGTATATTAATGTTGCGTTTCAATATAAAACAGAATATAAACATAATATGGTAAATTAATATAATAGAATAATATATTATCTATATGTGATTTGTGAGGCCAATGGACGAACCTACGAGTGATACATTGTGAAGTAAAGTGAGCGAAGAAAAATACATTTTTTCTTAGTTTAACTTGAGCCAAATCTACAGGATCGACTTTGGAGATATTGTATTTCAAAGAATGGCGAATCAAACAAGTGCACATTGTTTGGGGGGGGGAGGGGGGGACAATCGTACAAGCTTATGTCGTAACTACATGTATCGTCGAGTTAAACACATGCACCACCAGTCCACCACCATCACCACCGCCACATGCGGTACAACATATACCGAAAGTCCAAACGTACCCAGTCGATGAATAGGGTTCTTAGTTCTACCCCTGTCTGTTAATGACGGGTGAGTCGCTCTTGGGAATGGGCTTACTTTAGCTTTCCCTAATGGTAATTGTTGCGAGAGACGGCGTCTGTGTACCGATTGGGTGCCTCCTCCTCCCAGGCGTGTTTCTAATTGCAGAGCTAGAACACAGAGCGCTAGTCCCTCAACATCATCTACATCTAAGTTGAGCACCAAACACGTTTGCACAACGTCTGCATCAATCCACCCCTTCTTCGCGGGCTCAAACTCAACTTGTTGATCCAAATATCAGATATCATAGGTATTCAAGGACTGGGTTGTTGAAGCGTTTGTGGTTCAACCTTGTATGTACCATCTCTGGTGCATGCTCTCCGGTAAATCAGCGGCTATTCTGCGTATCTTCCAGGCAAAGTTTCGAAATTTGAGGAAAAAGAACGGCCTGATATGTACTGGAAACCATCGCCTCAACTGTATGTACTCTACCGTGAAGGTTCCCAGCCGATTGGCCCCAATAATTGTGGGTCTATATCATGTAAGTTCTACATCTATACGTTGCATAAGAATGTCAGCTGAGATTGATCCAGTTATGTAGGTATTTTCGTGGCTTTGAGTTCTGAGGGCACGGAAATTTATGACATGTACCGATAGGTTAGGTCGATCAACAGGCCGTGTTTTCCTTTTTATATCGCAATTCAACCCTGGACGCCCATCAAGATGAAGCGGGGGGGGGGGGGGGGGGGGTACGTTTATCCGCTGCTCAAGGACCGGGTTTTAAAAAGTTTTTCGACGTTCAAATCACTTGTCAGCGGTCAAGGCTAGAAGCTCTACCTTGAAAGACAGGGTTTATCCTCGCTTGATATATTTTTCCCTTGGCTCTTTAGGATGTGATGCCGAAGCCCTAAAGCCTACGATAATCGGTAACTAGAGATATGCGGGCTTCTAAGTAGATATAACGCCGAGTGTTTTGTTCTCCCTCTACCTATCCCGGACCCTTGGTAGAGCGGACGGTGCCGAACCAGGAGATCGGGTCCCGATATGTCTCGCTATAATAATGCTCGGTCATCAACACACTCTGAGCAATCTTCAGGGGCAAGAATTAAAAAAAATTCTTTTTACAAGCTAACGGGAAGATCCTTTGTTTTCTTTTTAGGCATCACGACACGACGCCCACCTGTCACTTATCAATGATGGACCGTGAACCTTCCTGCTGATGGGCGGGGCCAACTTGGCGTGGAACGAACGCCGCATTAAAATCTCGGATGTTCGGCACTGAGGGGCAGGCCATAATATACCGAGGGACAGAAAACTGACTTTCACTAACTACCATCGGCGGAACCCAGCAGGAGGTTGGATATTGTTACGCATAGGAAGACATTTTACAGGGAGTTCAATTACTCAATTGGACGGTTAACATGGCGTTTTGTCGGAGGTTCTCTTTGGAACACCCTGCTTTATAAATGCCTGTTGCTTACTTCCCCGCCCCTGAAAGGAAATAAATAGAGTGCCTACTTTTTCAAAACTCCATAAATCCTTCCTTTCTCTTTTGATATGTTCTTATGGTATTTTATTATTTACAAGTAGGGTCACCATTTAACAGGTTTTATTCTTAGCTTGATGGGAAATTTAAACTAACGTGAGCAGGGTTATCTAAATCCACAAACATATTCATAGCTTCTACACACGTCAAAGCCAAGCTTTCGGCTCCTAGACTGAAGAAATACACGCAAATTTTATCTGAGACATATCGCAATGGCGAAAAACGATGATGCTATCTCGCCTTCTCTAGATGAAAAAGATATTGAATCAGGCGTTGGAGCGGGAAAGAGTGATTACGGGAATGATATCGATTCTGCGTCATCAACCACAAGCTCCAGCTCTGACGATTATGCTGAGGGCGTCACACGAATTGCGACATTAGTGGACCCTGATATTACTAGAATAGCTACTAAAGCTTCTCGAGCTTCTGGAAAGTCTGGGAGAACGGCAAAAGATCTCGAATCAGTTCTCGGGACAGAGTTTGAGGTCAAGTGGGAAGGTCCGGATGATCCACAGAACGCTTTAAATTGGGCGACTAAGACGAAGGCTTTAATTCTTGCGTTGGTATCCTTACAGACTTGGATGGTGTATGTTATAACTCAATCGCTAGTTTGATTACATGGTGGACTGATTGCTGACTGTTTATATGCATAGGGTTTTTTATTCTACCTCTTATGTCTCCGGCTCTCCCGGGATTATGAAAGAGTTTGGTATAACATCTAAGACCATCGCCACGTTGGGTATGACAACATATATGCTTGGGCTGGCAGCCGGACCGCTGGTTTTGGCACCAATGAGTGAGCTTTACGGTCGAAGACCAGTCTACCTGATCTCCCTGTCTTTGTTTTTTATCCTCGTGCTCCCAGCATGTCTAGCTCAGAACTTTGCGACTATCCTTATAGTTCGCTTTTTAGGGTATAATAAACCCCCTTAATGTTGTTTGCATGGAGCTCACTAGAATATTTGGATATAGGGCTTTCGCTGGATCAGTCACAATATCAAACGCACCTGGAACCATTGGGGATATCTTCGATGAGCATGGTCGAACTATGGCAATTACTATTTTCTCACTAGCTCCAATGAACGGACCTGTGCTTGGTCCGATTATTGGCGGTTTGGTTTATGGACACCTTGGGTGGAGATGGACAAGTTGGCTAGTTTTCATCATTGCCGGAGTATTAGGTGTTTTAGCGTTTTTCATTCCGGAAACATACGCCCCTGTTCTTATGCGAAAGAAGGCGGCAAGGCTTCGCAAAGAGACTGGAGATGATAGATATATGTCGAGATTCTGTTACAAAGATGGTGAAGGTGACTTTTGGGTATTAATCAAGACCAGTCTACAACGACCAATCATCATGTTGTTTACTGAACCACTATGGTAAGTTGAGCCGATTTCTTTCGGGACACATCTAGAATAACTTTACTGATAGGGAGATTGTGATAGTATATTTTGGGCACTTTACATTGCTGTTATCTACGGTATTCTCTACCTTTGCTTCACAGCATATCCAATTGTTTTCGCTCAGATTCGTGGCTGGGGCCCATCAACTGCTGGCCTTGCGTTCTGCGGCATTGGTGTTGGCACGATATTATCGGCTATTCTAGATCCAGTCAACCAGAAGATCTATGAGATGCATAAAGTAGACCCAGATACAGGCAAGAGACCACCAGAGGCCCGTATTGCATGCACATGTCTTGCCGCAGTCCTGAGTCCTGCCGCAATGTTTTGGTTTGCTTGGACTTGTGTGCCAACCAGCATTCACTGGATCTGGCCTATTCTGAGTGGAATTCCTTTTGGATTGGGAAACACTTGGATATTTTTGCACGGGAACAGTTATCTAATCACGAGTTATGATGTTTATGCTGCCTCTGCTTTGGCGGGGAACACTGTAACGAGAAGGTAACACACCCTGTTGTATCTAAAAAATTTGATATACAGACTAACACTAAGTGATAGCATTCTTGGCGGAATCTTGCCTCTATTTGGCCCTCAACTATACTCAAAGCTAGGTCCGAACTGGGCGGCGACTACAGTTGGATTTATTTCAATGGCGCTCATTCCAATTCCATGGGGATTTTACAAATGGGGCAAGCAAGTAAGAATTCGGTCGCCAATGTTGCAGCGATTGCAGAAGGAAAGACAAGAGAGGGGCGAGGAGTAATTCTATTGGTTTCTCTGGGGATATGGGGTCCTAATCCCGGTTATCTACAGAGTCCAAGCTAGTTCGATGTATATGTAATGTCATAATGTCTAAAAGTAGATAATGCTTTGCGTTGAAAAAGGTTGTTTAAGATAGATCAATAAAACTCTATACTATTAAAAAGTACACTTGTACGTTAAACTCTTTAATAATGTCTTGATCCTAATACCGTGAGCATTCAATCGCTTGGTAAAGTCCACGATGAATTAACGTTGACACGAGTGAATTTGGACATCTAAACTATATGTCTTCCTCATCGTCACCAGGAACGTTTTCTATTGGTTGCGTACTATTTCTAATATTGGTTGCATATCATTAGACAAAGAACTACTCCCGAGATGGAAGGGAACTGGCATTATATTAAAAGGCGTGTAGCTATTGCAATTGATAGATATAAAAGAATAAACACTGACAGAACTACCGCTATATTTTTATATATCAAAGTCGAATTTCCCTGATAGCATTTTATCATGAACTACATGTACATACTAAAGCTACTTATTGAATGACTTAGAGTGTATGCTAGAGGTAATATATCACAGATTGCCTATAAGGAGAGATGGAGATGAGGTTTAGTGCGTGCCTGTACGTTTGGGTGACCCAATAATCCAGAATGACAGCAATAAGCTAAGAAATTACTATCGTAGTACCGCTCGCACCTAGGTTCATTTCCTCACTACATTTGGGCGGCCGG